GGGGAGGCCCAAACCCGCCTCGAGCCCAAGGCCGTCAAAGTCCATCCTTTTTCCCAGATCCTGTTCCGGCCTTCGACCACATACACCCCCACAGACCATCAAGCCAGAAAACATTTTTGTATCCCAGCAACACCTTCGCTTGAATTTTCCTTCGTCTACCTTCCAGCCCGCTACTCCCCACCTCGTCACGCCTTCCCTTCGACCCCTTTCCAACTACACCGTCAAGATCGCAGACTTTCGGCCTCGCCCGCGAGACGCACTCGAAGCGGCCGTACACAAACTACGTTTCAACGCGGTGGTACCGCGCTCCAGAGGTGCTGCTCAGAGCCGGTGCTTACTCTGCCCCTGTCGATATGTGGGCTGTGGGCGCCATGGCCGTCGAAATAGCTACCTTGAAGCCCCTTTTCCCCGGCAAGAACGAGATCGACCAAGTCTGGCGCGTGTGCGAGATCATGGGCTCGCCTGGCAACTGGTACAGCAAGAACGGTGCCAGAGTCGGCGGTGGTGAATGGCGAGACGGAATCAAACTCGCCCAACGGTTAGGTTTCTCGTTCCCAAAAGTGAGTTTCTCGTCTTTTATCCTTTTGATATTGATTTGCTAGGTGTGTATGTGTGTACTGACCAGACAGATGGCTCCCCATGCACTGGAGACAATTCTCCCTACCACCCACTGGCCGCTTGCTCTCAGCCAGTTTGTGACATGGTGTCTTATGTGGGACCCCAAGGCCCGTCCCACCTCGACTCAGGCCCTCAATCATGAATACTTCACTGATGCCGTCGATCCGCTACGGCCCAAGTCGTCCACGGCTCGTCTCCTCGGCCGCCGACAGAGCGACAAGAACTTCAAAGTCAAGGATCTCGATGCCCCCACGCCCACGCTGGTCTCCAAGCCATCGTGGTTCAGACGGTCGATTATCGGTGCTACTGGACGAGAGAGCCCGGCCCTGGCCAACATGGCTGAGAACAACGCATCGGAGACTTCCACCACAACTGAACAGCAGGCTACCATGGTAAAGGTCAGCCCAGAGGTCGCTGTACAGGTACAGGTCAAAACGAAATCGAAGCGTGCGACCTGGGCAAACGGTGCTCCCATGCCAATCCTTCCGTCCATACGGCCTGTATCACCTCTCTCCAATGCCGTCACAGCCCAGGGTAACTCCCATGCGAACAACAGCGCTTGTCCAGAGAAAAAGGATACCAGCCAGACCAGCACACAACAGCAGGCCAACCCGGCTGCGTCCAAGAAGGTCTCTCGACAGCTGTCTGTCAACAGCAATGGGAACCACTACTCAGACGCCCATCGAGCAGAGGCCGAGCGTGCTCTCAACGGATCCACAGCCACTACACCCACCCAAAAGGAAAGTTTCTTCTCTCATCTACGGAAACGGGCTCGCCGGCTATCTGGAAGGAATCAGACTACTATCCCAGCAGACGACGTGGAGGCAAACGCTGCCAGTGCCGCCTGGTCTGGTCCTACATCTAACCGCTCGAGCATGGCCATTGATCCCGTCACCACCAGCCCGGTAGTAAAACAGACCTCCATGGCCAAGGGCAAGAATGGATTCGCCGATCTAGACAAAGCGTTGCAGGACGTCAAGTATTCGCTCGACAAGACCTCTAGCCCCCAGCAGGCCAGCATCACAACAGCCACAACAAGCCAGATTCCCTCCCCTGCCCAAAGCGTGTCAAACACTGCTCAGAGTCCTGTAACTGGGCCGATATCCAGTCGGACCCGACGTGCTCTGCAACTGTCGTCTCGCCCCGTCCAACGGTACGAAACGCCAGAGGAGGAAGACGAACTCCTTCAGGAGGTGCTGTACTCTACCTCCAACGCTGCCAGGCGGCTGCTTGCCGATCACCCGGAGCCGCCTAGCGACGAACACGTCTACCACCAACAGCAGCGACAGCACACATGCAGCAGCGACACAGCCGCAGCAGTCAAACACATACCCATTCGTCGACACTGACTGTGACACATCAATGCATAACAATACCCCATCAATACGGACAGTGGATGACAGCTGTCGAGCAGGCCACAACCCGTACCCTACCCCGTCTCCGACTGCCAGACGAGACGGGCTGGGCATGAACATGGGTATGAACATGGGCATGGGTATTGGCCTTGCGCTGACTCCTGACGAAACGCCCTCGAAACAATTGGCCAAGGGATTTGTCACCACCAACGTAGGGAACCGACAAGGTCCCACGCCTCCGTACGACGACAATCAATGGCCTAGCGCTGTTGGTGTAGGTGGCTTTCGATAGACGTGGTTCACTCATCGCCATATCTAATCAACTTGGCCTAATTAATTAATGGATACGCTCATCTACTATATACCTCCATCAACCACCACTATCACTACCACCTCGCCACCACCGTCGGCCGCCAACAGCGCGCAGCTACCAACCCAGCGTATCCATCCAACCCATTCATTTCTTTTGTTTGTTCTCATCTTTCGTTATTTCCTACCTTTTTTCTCCCCCATCTTTATCTATTCTTGCATTTTTTGATCATTTTACCTCCCGCTTACTCGACATTTATTTCTGACTTTCTTTTCCCTTTTCGCCCATTTTATACATTTGTTCATCATTCATATACACATAGAGAGGTTTTGGTGGGCCCGGTCATGTTTTATCTTTATCATCTTTCTTCGGCTTTTTTTACTCATCTTCGCCTTCGGCTCTTAAGCGATCATAGCTGATTTGCTTGTCTTTCTCGTCGTCCCTCTCTTTCATTCTTCGGCCTATACTCACTTCCACGGGACTTGACTTCATTTTTCTTCTCCCCTTCTCAACTTCTTTATACCCCATTCATTGTTTGCTTAATCTGCCTGACTATTAGATCCCGGTTCGATCTCAGCTGGTCTTGCGGCTCTCCTACATGTGTGTCGTGTTCTGCTATCTGTCTATCTACCAGATATCCCATCTACACCACATTTACGCATCTATCCATTATTATTTATTAATATTTTAATCTCACTTTGCCCCCCCTCCTTCTTTTCCCATGTCCCTCCAGGCGCTTGTTGATATTTTTCCCTCTTTATACTACTCCCCCTTGTTCCGGTACAGGGGGAAATGGCAGGTGGTCGGCTTCTGTTTGCATGCATGCATTCGCTTCCTTTCTTTTTCCTTCTTCCACCATCCACGCCCGGGGGTCTCATCCTTTCTTCACCTTCTTTTAACTATATATCGGGGGCTTTCTTCTTCACCCCCATCGGGAAACCGGTCCATGTGCTGCTCCCAGCCTCAGCCTACCTACTTGAACGGGTCTATCCCCCCCATACCTTACCTTTCCCTTATGTCTATCCCCCTCCCCCATCCTGTTTAATACAACCACTGTACATTCACTCTTTATGCGGTCAGCCTCTCCGGACCCCTTTCTTATTTCTTGCTTTGTTTTCCTGTTTCATGCACATAGACAGCGCACAGCACAGCAGCAACAAAAACACCCTTTGTTTGACTTGGAGAACTTACGTTTTTCCGTCTCCTTTTTTTTTTTACCTTTTTCCTTGCCCTGTACAATCCATTTTGTCTGGCAGCAGGGCTGGCTGGGTTGGGAAATGGCTCTACGTCTTTTTTGTGTTGATTCCGTTTTCTTTTTTCGGTTTCCGGCTCAGGCTCAGGCTCTGGCTTCTGGCCTTAAGGCTTACTGTACTTATATAAATACGGAGCGCTACGTTTTAATTTTGATATCTATCCTATCTTATACATACATATACATCAGTCAACCGATAAATATTAATACGTTACTATCAAAGCAGGTGTGGGAGTTGTTAAGTAATTAATTAATAGCCACTATGGCTGATCAGGTAAAGATAATGCCCTACGGCCCTAGGGCCGCTATTGGGGAACAAGATCGTATCATTTCATGTCAGAAAGGTTCCTGAAGTTGAACATAAGACTGACGTCTGGCGGCAGATGCTTCGCCTGAGAAACTGGTATGGATAATAGGTGCCACTTACTACATAACAACGCCCGATTATTATTTTGTTACCAGGCATCACTCGGCCTTTTGGAATCTCTCAGTGGAAATTTCATCTCAGGTTTATGCTCATAGATGTCCCGATGAGGAAGTTTACCGGAGCCATCACGCCAATTGGCACGTTTGGAGCAATGCCTTGTAAATTTGTCGGCTGACGTTCTTGGACGGTGGGTTTCTGGATCTCCTCAATGAAGGACATTTCTCTGTTTGGCCTTTGGTAAGTCTAGAACAAGCTTCCGGGATTTTCCAAAAGTTTTGAACTCAGCCTTGCCTGCCTTCTTGATGCCTTCTATACAGCCCTGAATAATCCCCGGCGTAGCTGCCATCTCAACCAGGTCAGCAATTTCTCCAAAGATGGGAATTACCGCCTTAATGGCTTCGAGAGGCGCAAGCAAGGCAGGAACGGCAACCCTGCAGAATGCTTTGGCAGCCACTTCAATGGCGACTTGGATGGCTGCATCTTCTGCGGCTTGCTTAAGGGCATCTTCTGCACCTGCGATGTCATCTAGATTTAAGGCTTGAGGTCACGTAGTGTTAGTCAAATAAACGGATAATTCAATACTGGTTTTCACATGTAAATTGAAAACTAGCACAGCAATAGCTCTGCATCCCTCCGTTGCAATTCAGGTCGCCTTTCTTGGAGTCATGCGAATTGGTGTTTGTAGTCAGCTCAATTTCCCCTTTTGCGCATTCCCCAATGCAACTAAGACCTGCTCCTCGATACCCTCGCCATTCACAAGATCCTACTTGAGTTTTCGAGTCGCACACATGGACCGGTAACTGCCCCCTGACAACCACAGTCATCACTACCTGGATATTCCCAATCGAGATCAAAGCCATAGGTGTCCATAAACTGTATAATCCTATTGATAAAGGCATCGTGGTCTGATGAGCTGCTAACCATCTCACTAAAGGCAATTTGGGTTGCTCTCGGATCAGTGTAAGACCATCCGCCGATAGATATCTAGGTCTCTAAACCAGGTTTCCTCTCATTTAGTGCAGTGAAACAGCTATAAAGCGAAGCAGAATTGCCATCCATGGGTGTAACTTGAAAGGTTTTTGGGTCGAAAAACGCAAATGCGGAATTCATGGATGTAAAGCCATCAAGATTCAAATCCTCGGGAGCCACAACCTGGCATGCTAGGGTATTGGCCCTGGACTCATAATATCCAATACTCCGCTTTTTTGCACTCGTACCGCTGTTATATGGTCTCTTGAAGTTGGCACATCCGCCGTACTTTTCGTCATATGAACTATAATTTAGGTCCATTTTATTCTCCTATTTACATAATTCGGAAACAGATCCGCAGTAACCAAATTAACTGCAGCAGACATCGAGAGAGCATTTTTGTTTTTCAGGCTTTGAGTAGGGACCACATTCAGCTTTGGCGTCGCCTATAAATTTGTCAGAAAGCAAGTAAAGTATTGAGTGGAATCTGATAAGAACAGTTGTGTTGACAGCCAGTTCCACGAGGGGCAGGTGAATAACCCCAAAGGTTGTCTTTTCCACAACAAGCACCATTCGCACAAGGTGTTACATAACTGCAGGTTTCGGTAGGTAGACCCGTTGAAAGGAGGAAAATGTCTCCTCGTTGTGGGTGGTAGAGGGGAAAGCCATCAACTGACTGAGCAAAAGGGCTAAAAGTGACTGCATTTCCTCTTATAGAACAGGTAGTGAGAGCAAGCGGAAACCGTGATAAACTCGCGAGAACGCGAGCCTCCTAAAAGGTTGCATGACGAGAATAAACGACTACAGGGGATGTAATGAAGGTATAGAGGGAAGTAGTGGTACTCAGGAAGAATGATTTGAGCGAGAGCCATCCACAACCCATGTGTAACTCGAATCCATTTCGCCTTCCACGGCTCTCAGGATGCGGCCCGGGACTATTTCTCTTTTACTATGTATCCTCCTAGCTCGCAGAGTCATATGTCATATCCGCGTAGCCAATAGCTAAGCCGCCTATAACCTAGGTCTTAATAAATACCATTTGCCTCGTACCTATGTCTCTCGGACATAGCTAGTTGAAAATGGCTATGCTTAACTTCCCCGAAGCACAATGGGCCTCAGCAAACGAATCCCGAGAGGGGTCAACTGGGTATCTAGCCATGCATAGGGCGCAGGTGACCGATGAATAAGCCCTGGTTCCATCATAAAAGAATCTGGCGAGGTCTTTCAGGCCTGGGCCCAGCTTCTTCGTTGTATTCTGTCTTCTTTAGTCACAAAAAAGGGGTGAAAAGTGGTGAAGTTGATAGTGACTTTGTGTGTGTGGATGCCAAGCTAACCCTAAGCTGGTTAAGCTCGCCAAGTATGCGGACCGTCGTGGCGCAGCTGACGTAAGAAAGTATAATTCTGGAACAACTTCGCAAGGCGAAAAGGGGCAAAAAAACTATTATCAACACCGACTTAGAGCTCTTATTATTATCATCCTAAGTGGGATAGACCGGAGTACTTTGGGGACTGTACTGCTTTTTGTGAGAGTCTGCCTTGTGTTAGACGAGAGTCCCTATGTCTAACGATACGTATAATGAGGGGTCTTAAAAAGGCAGCAAGGCTTAGATGGGTGACCATGGGCTACCATAGGTAGCTATAGATAGTGCATTTCTTGGTAAGTTATGGTCCTTTTCTGCTCATTATCAATTTTATCAATACTTCTATTCCTAATGGTATAATCATCATCCGAAAAAATTTCCCTTCACTCCATTTGCTTTCCTCCGGCTCCCTGTTGTACCAGTTCAAGAAATCCTCCACGAACATATTTACAACATAGCTCTACTAATCATTGCCTCGTTTTTTTTTAAAACATATACATGTCGGTTACTTGAATCTCTTTATATCTCCTGTTCTCCCACTATGGTAATTTTCTCCCTGAACTATTCTCCTTAGTCGGCCGTTCAGTCCAATCTTTACCCGGCCATAGATTCTACACGGCTAGCAAGAACTTTTAATACCAGTATTGGATGCCTTGGTTTTTTGAATAAAATAGTACTATGTGATGCTACCCTCTTGCAGATGATAGAGCGTGCGGACAATTACCCCTGGATGTCGATAATAATGTTACTACTCTCTGCACAGCTGACTGTCTTTCTACGGCTAAAACCTGGTTCTGGGACGTTTCAGATGCATGCTCTGACGGCTATATAAATGTTAGCGGGAGATTGATTCCTCCATATACGATACCTGAGCGAATACAGGATAGCATGAATATTGCATGCCTACGGCCGGGCACCGACGTATCTATGCTGCCAGGTATCGGTGGATGAAATTGTCACTCCCACGGAGCCGTTGGCAGATAATCCAATAAATACCATTAAACCGTTAACTTCCACAGCCACTGATTCTACCACATTGGAGAGGGGGCTGGATTACATTCCAATAGAGATGCAACACATCAATGCCTAGCATATCGGCCGACGCCAAAAAATTGATGCCAGCGGTACTCCTTATATGGTATTGCTTAATCGACTCGTACAGCTGGGTTGGCTAGATATCATTCTGCCTGATTGCTCAAGCGATGCAAGCACTGATCCACAGTGTTTGGGCCCCACCCGAGGAAAACCAGCGGGTTGCAAATCTCTACCCGGGCGATCTACTGTGCAGCGATTGTTTCGTTAAGATGTTTTAGCTGCGGGTGGCTTCTCCATATCTCCCTATGCTCGATCATTTGGATTACTGATAGATCAGTATCTTGAAATTGTTGATGTTTGTGATGCGAAGATGCGTAGAGGAGGTGATTTAATATGTAATGGGACAGGAAGGCAAGTGACAAAATAAGGCACTGACTCGCTATGTAAATGGAATATTAATTGTCTACAAGGATAGAACGGAGCGCAGGCAATAACGAGGAGGGCCCCCTAACCATATTAATGACAAGGTATGAGCTAAGATATATGTGCACCCTGGCAAATACCGCACCCTTTTTCGCTCCACTCGAAGCCATGGTAATTAGTTAACTCATTAAACCCCCATCCAGACCCCGGAAGAAACCAACAAAACCAACCAGAGGGTATTTGGGATTAAAAAGAGTGCGTCAACGCCCCATTTCTACAACGATATTGTACCATAAATATCTACCAATCGGCCCAACTGCTCTTCGTATGCCTTACATTGGATTTTTAGAGAACGACAAACGAAAAATATTTATACCCTGCACCGCGCTGGCCACTACTTAGTTCAACCTACTTCAGATGGCACAGATATAGCTATTCAAGCATTGCCAGTTCACTGAAAGTTTACTCATTTGCTTCTTACATTTCTACGATGTTTAAGAAGGTCCTGGGATATATCTTGGACTTTGGGGACAAATGGATATTTACGTCATTGATCCAAAAGCAGGACAAATTTCTTGCTGAAGCTACTAGTGGTGAGAAGCGATCACTGATATTTGATTAATTTCTATTCAATCTAACTAACTTTGATTGAATAGAGTCAATTTATCGAGATTTAGACAAAATTCTTCCTACTCGAGATTCAATAGACGAAAAAGAGCGTTTATCCGCAATATTTGAGCAGGACTGCGTTAAAAGCCCGTCCGGAGAAAAATGTAAGGGATCCCCTTCTCATATGATGCAAACTACTTACTTACTAAGAAAATAGACTGGAACGTAGAGAGTCTGAAAAGGTTCATACAGCGAACTTATTCTGAAGCCGTGATCTCTGGCGCTGGAGTTCAGTTGCTCTGGAGGAGTTTCCACTTTTTCGCCTATTGCCCATTCCCTCAAGACCCGCAGGATGGAAGAGTCAATTTTAATGCATTTTTACGAGCGACAAATATGATAGTTTTCCAGGCGGATAAACATTTTGGTGATTTCAACCGCTCTTGTGCTGGTTGGGGGCATGAACCTGAATTCCACGAGAAGGCTTCCTTTAGACGGATACTTAGAAGCATTGGAGTCCCAGTGAAAGCTATATCGCAGCCAGAAAAGCACCAGGCAGAGAAGCACCAAGCTGTGGTAACTTCTACACCAACGGAATCGACTTCTATATTATGGGATATTGTGGATTCTTTAGCAATTGGAATACCAGGCTTTTGCGATTTGACCATTCCCCAAGAAGAAATCGAAGAAGCGGCTCCGAGAATACGGGAGGAATTTGCTACATTTATGAGAAGGAAGGTTAATCGGGAAGAAATGTCAATACTCATAAGCTTAATACTACGTGTGAGATTGGTAAAAGAGAAATGGCTGTACTTTGCTATGGGCGAGATTGCGGAGACCAACCCTGAAGGGGAGACGTTAACGTTATCCTTGGTCAATAGCTTGATTGACGGAGAAGAGTTTCCCCTGGACCAATACACCAGAGTGGCAGACATTCTGGTAAGTCTTTCATTACATTCATTATATAGGGTGAGAAACCTAAACTAACCTGATTTTTATTCTTAGCCTTACCTTGATATCAAATTCTATCAATTGTGGGCCGTCCTCTTCCAGCCTTCAGGACCTAGTACCGAACCGAAATCACCTAGATCTGCACCAGCCTATGTTTGTGGAGCTATTTCTCTGTTTCTTCCACAATGGGGGAACACTCATCGTGATTTATACGATTACAGTGAGGAAAGCAATGTTATTTTGTTTGAGAGTTCGCGTATTCCACCATCAGTTCCGCATGATACAACCATGGTGCGCCTAGTTCAGGCTCTATTCGGCCATCCAGACCCCCAAGTCGTCTTATTCGGTAGCGAGGCAAAAGGGAAAACCCCAAAAACCGTTATTGGTGCATATATTCCTTGTCCGATATGCTCTGCCTACGATGAAGACACACATCGTTTCAAAATGTCATTGGTCCTTTTCCAACTTCAGCCTGTCTTCCGGACCATTCGCTTAGGAAAACCTGTCATTTCCATTACACCATCGAACAAACCGAGAGAGAAGACATCCCTGGTGGAAATGGTGGAACGTGAAGGATCACCTAACATTCCCTACTGTATAGGTGCCGGGACCAGCAACGATGGAGCCAGCATCAGAGTGAACCCTGAGAAGGGGACGGCAACTCTTGTCAGCGGTGGTCGGCAGTGGAATGGAGACTTCGGAAATGGCAAAGCTGAAGATGATCAATTGGATAGTTGGGAGGTTACCGTACATGACCCCTGGATGGAGATGTATACGGCGAACGAGAGAGAGAGGCATTGTTCCGACAAACTCACAATGGTGACGGGCAAGGAACTGGAGAAATTGAGGAAGACAATTGTTGAAGAGGTCAAGTACAAGGACGAGAAGTTGCGTTGTGCCGTTCTTCACTCAGCGTACCGGCAGGACTATAAGCTTCTACCTGATGCGAACAATAACCTCCATACTACCTTCTGGGTCCTGCCGGACGATGAGGACGATAAGGACGATGAAGGCGCTGAGTGATAGAAAAATAATTAACCAAAGTCGTAATATTTAGTTCTCTTATTTGGTGAGAGGGTACGATGGACACATAGTTAATGTATCAAGTAATTCCCCTTGGATCTTATAATCTTTTGATAGGACAAAGTAGGTGCATAACTACTATGCAGGCATATCGATGATATCTAGACATTAAAAGACAAGCGTTGTGTATATATTAGATGGAATTTTTTTCTTCCATCCAAGCTGTATATTTTTGTTTAATGTATTGGTACTACTCTGCGGTAACTTCCACCTACCATGCAGTCCCGTTATAGATATAGGTCAACCACATAACTATTTGATATGGTGCTCTATCTGACACTATACGGACTATAACTGTACATATCACAGATATTATATATATAATAAAGTAATCAAGTAGAGTGCTATGCGGTCTCGAGTGGCCACTGCTGCCTTGATATCTCTGCGGCGTAGCAGACAGCTGGTGCCCTATTTAGGCAAGTCTGATATCTTCAGCAAGGCTGACTCCATCTAAACATCTTCACAGCCTCAAAAGACATCAAGTATGGATGTATATAGAAAGATAAAGAAGAAGAGAGTAGAGACCTACTATGATCAATGAGCGTAGCGATGTGTGAGAGAAGTTCCAGGAGGTTGGTGCCTGACTGTCTTGCCGGCCACTGCCACGCCGAGAAGGAGATAAAAGGGCAAGATGTCACCTTGTTTTCTTCATTCTCTTCTCACTTCTTCTCTTTATCTTCAACTTCATCTTCAACTTCATCTCCAGCTTCCTGTCTGCACTCCTGACACAGCTTTACAGACGAAGAGCACACCAGAGAAAGCCCCAGAGAAAGCCCCAGAGAAGGCCACAAAGATGATCACCACACCCACCTTCTCCGAGATGGAGGATACGGCTCGCGCTGTCATCCTCTGCCTGAAGAAATGCCCTGACCTTGCCCACACCAAGGTAGCCATCATCGGAGGCGCTGCTGTCTGCAGATACGTCTCTGAGCGCGAGCCAAGTGACGACCCGGAGGTAGGAGACCATCTATCAAAGTTAATATTCAAGCGGTATATGATACGTTTTGGCTGGCAGCTAACTAAGGAGCAGGACGTCGACTTCATGATCACCATCCCTAACCCTGAGGTGGCGCACCGCAGACTGTTGCAGACCTTCGACACGCTGTTCGCTGAGTACGAGGGCTGCCTGTACTATTCTCATCCCTGCGGAAAGCAGATCAAGGTTGACTTCAGCACCAACTGCCGCGTAAGTGTGCTCTTTTTGCGTGTATTCACGTAGTATTGCGTGGCTAACAATGGGTATAATATAAATAGCTGCCATACATCCCCACAGCAGCAACCATCGTCCGCGAAGTCGACATCGACTGCCTTCCCTACATCGGGCCCACTGACCTGTTGGTCCTGTCCATCCGCCTCTGCGGCCAGCGCAACGACGAGTACTCCCGCATAGAACGCGACTCTGCCGACGCCGTTGCCCTGGCTGAGACCATCGTCAAGGAAGGACCCGTCGTCCTGTCTCCTATCCAGCGCCAGGTTGTCCGTGAAGAGTTGGCTGAGGTCGTCCACTGGGGCCCCAAAGATGAGACCTGGTGGAGAGGCGTGCTGTCTGCCGCCTTGAACTCCAAGGACAAGTGATTCTCTGTCACATGGTATCATATTTATGCCACTTGACGGGCACATATGCCTTTTTCTCAACATTTTATGGTGTTTATCTGGATCAGTTCTGGGGGTTACCATGGTGACTGGTTGAGATGGTTAGTTCATTTTGTTATTGAAGGTACGGTGCATGTGCATGTTTATCAGGTTACTCATCTCACTATCATACAAGGGTCTTGATGGGGCGTCGATTGATCGTCAGGGGACGGAATCCTTGATATTTGGAGCAAACAGCTTAACCTGTCGACTTGATGTATCAGAAGGAGATAGATATAGCAGACAGATGTGATGTCTCTGTCTGATATAAACATGGTTGATATTGCTGGCAGAGTCACCATCCACATCTGTTAGATAGCTATAGTAACTAGCAACATCCTACAGTCATCTCCATGCATCTTTATGCCGGTTTATGCATATGTTAATTTGATATCGCTGTCGCTTCGTCTTCTTCGTCTTTTTCTTATCTTTTAACAAAATTTATGTCAAGTAGTGACTAATCTCTTAGTAATCTATGTGACATATTAGTCAATTCTTACCTAATCAACGCGTCTCCAAAAAGTTCGCGACGTCGATTTAATTGAAAAAGCTGAAGACGCAGAAAAGACGCAGAAGAAAGTGATAAACCAGAGACAAATAGGCTGAAGATGGCGTTTGACGGTGTGGAGTGCGAGGAGCCGCCGTGCATCAACCCGTACGAGGTGCTGGGAGTGGCCGAGCAGGCGAGCGCAGACGAGATCAAGTCCGCCTACCGGAAAAAGGCCCTCAGACACCACCCAGGTACGTCTTGCGAAGTTGATATAAAAGGTATACAGCCAGTGCTAACGGGCTGGCAGACAAGGTCTCGGCTGAGGGCAAAGACGAAGCGCACAAGAAGTTCCAGGAAATCGCCTTTGCATATGCGATCCTATCCGACGAGCGGCGGCGTCGACGCTACGACACGACGGGCAACACGTCTGAGTCGCTCGACCTGGAGGACGATGACTTCAACTGGACGGACTTCTACCGCGAGCAGTTCAGCGTCATGATCGACGGGACGCTGCTGGACAAGTTCAAGCAGGAGTACAAGGGCTCTGATGAGGAGAAGGCGGACCTGCTGCGGGTATATGAGGAATGCAAGGGGGACATGGACGGGATCTACGAGCAAGTGATGGCCAGCGACGTGTTGGAGGACGACGACCGGTTCCGAGCCATCATCCGTGCCGCTATCGAAGAAGGAGAGGTAGCAGACTACCCTGCCTTCACCGACGAGCCGGTGGAGACAAAGCGGGCGCGGCGTAGGGCTGCAAGGGAGGAAGCCGGTGAAGCCATGGAGATGGCCAGAGAACTGGGGGTGGAGGAGAAGCTGTTCGGCAGCAAGAAGAAGGGCTCCAAGGGCTCAAAGGGCAAAGCGGACGGCGGGGAGGATGCGCTGATGGCTCTCATCCAGCAACGCCAGAAGAGCCGGGGTGAGTCCTTCCTGGCCAACCTGGAGGCCAAGTACGCCCCGAAGACGCAGAATAACAAGCACAGGAAGCGGGCTGCAGAGGATGAACCGCCGGAAGAAGCATTCCACAAGCCGCGAACCCGGGTGCAGGACCGGGACAGGGGCCATGGCCAGAACCAAGACAAGCCACGCGAGAAGCAGCAGCGGAAGAACGATAATAGCAGTGGACGGAAGAGGGCAAAGGCGTGAACGAGCCATATTCCTTTTCCCCGTCCCTCGATCGGCCTCCTGATCTTCTCTCCTGGGGTTTTCTAGTCACCTTACGGCGTTGCGTGGTTGGTCTTGTCGGAGCAGGGAGTTCTCTCGGGTTTGATGCATGCGCTTTTCTTCTTTTCTTCTTGTCTTCCCTGCTGCAGGCTGATGTGATGCCAAGCGGGAGTTCTTCTGTTGGTTCTCTGCTTCAGCTGCCTCTGTCCGCTCTGATAACTGTCCTGTTGTCTTTCCTGTCCGTGTCTTTCCTGTTGCTGTTCTGTTGTTATCTTGCAAGTTATGTAGCCGGCGCCTCGACCGCTACCAAATACAACAGCCATCACAGCAACACCACCAGCCCAGCGTCTTCACCAGCAAACACCAGCTGCCACTCCAGCGAAACGGCTATCCAGCGACGACGAGGAGGACAAGACGAACAAGCGCATCTCGTCCCGGGGCCTTCCTGGTCGCTGCTGCTTGGCCTTTCCTTGTTCTTCGTCTTGCCCAGGCCCTAATATAAACAGCATGGACGAGCTGCTTCAGCCACATCTTCGCCTTTTCCCGCGCTCTCTATCGCGACCCTGAACGCCGGCCTGCTCGTCTATATGTCGGTCTGTCTGCCCTCTTGTCCCTCTGTTCTCCCGTCTTGTCCTGCTTGCCGGTGCTTGTTGCTGACGCTGCCCCCCGAGAACCGCGAATACAGGCTTGAACCCCCTTGTCCTACCTACTTTCCCAGCGCTGCGCGAGAGATCCTCCCTGTGGCTGCGGCGCCACGACCCATCGCCAGCATTCTCGACTCTGCTGAGGACAAAGACGTCTCTCTCCCTGCCCGTCGGCCTTTGCTCTGCCTCCTTCTCGCTGTCGAGACGACCGCTGCCAGTCCGTCGTTGACGTCTTGTCTGTCTGTTGCCTGGACTTTGGGTCGCGGCGGGTTTTTGTTCTGGCTGCTCCACCAGAACCGCCAGCAGATCCTAGCCCCATCTCGCTCGCTCTCGTATTTTCTTCTGACTTCCTCTTCTTCTTCCTTTTTCCTCTTCCTTCACCATGATCCCCAAGATGTCTCTCGAGTCGGCCCTTGATGAGGAACGGCGCGAGATCCTCGAGCTGCTCCAGGGTCGCCCGCAGCAGCAGAACAGCCCTCAGAGCCCTCAGAGCCAGCAAAACCAGTCGCCTCGTCCCCACCACCATGCCACTCAAGCTCCTCCCATCCGCTCCATGCTCGATGTTGCGCCGGATCCCTCGAGACGGGCGGGCTCGGTCAAGTCGTCGTCTGCCAGCGTACGCAGCATGCTCGACCCCATATCGCCCTCGCCTCTGAGGGAGACTCACAGCGCGGCCTCCTCGCCAACCTCCTCTGCCCACACGCCGTCCATACACGAGTCAGACGGGCTGCGTAGGGCCTCAGAGTCGTCACCCTATGGCGGCCTGCCGTCTATAGGAAGGAAGACCGGCGTCGAGGCGTACCAGTTTGGCATGTTGCCCAGCATACCCAGCCAGCTGCCAAAGCGAGTCACCCAGGGTGGCAAGAAGAGCGTCACTGGAAATGGCAACAATCATAACAACAATGGTAATAACAAACATCCCAGCTCCATGGCCGCCGTCATGTCTGGGTCCGACTTTGGGCCTTTGCCTGGCTTCCCGCGCGGCAGGCAGACCGGCCGGCATGCTCCTGGATTTCCACACAGCTCAACATCCCCCATGCGCTCGCGGTCTCCGGGCCCACGCACGCTTAACAGCCTCAATCCGCTCGCAGCCAACTCAAAGTCAAATGTTAACACTTTTGTCACTGACTCTGGCCGAGTTATCAACCTGGATCATGCATATAGAAAGTTATCCAATACCGCACTGCAGCGGTCAGGCGGCAGCCTGGCCCATCTGCCCCATATAGAGAAGAAGGAGCTGGAAGACCTGGCAGAAAATTCAGACTCGGATGCCAGACTGGCTAAGGATTACTATTTGGATACCCCTGACGGTGGCTTCAGCGAGGACCACACCAGTGATGACGAAGAGGATTTGAGCTCTGACGAGGAGCTGTGGCGGTTGGGTGTTGGTAGAGGCCGTGGCCGGACGAGAAAGAAGCGTGAGGGTCAGGGAGCTGATCGCAACCTAGACGACCCCGAAGCAGCCAACAAGGTCAGAAGTCTTCTAGCTGCTGCAGAAGAAGAACGTATGTATTCTCAATTTTTATTTTTATTTTCGTTTTTCTTGGTTTATAATTATGATGACGTTCTAACAAATATATACAGGAAAAACTGTGTCCTCGACATATAAAGTCCGGTCTCTGCTCGAGCCTGACAACCGCGCTGCTGCAGCTGCAACTGAAAAGCCTATGAAGCACAAGACCAGTGTCCATCCAAACACCAACTTCGACATCACCGTCTCTCAAGGCAATACCCCAATTGGCTCAGACGATGAAGGAGGAGGTGGCGGCGGTGGTGATGGTATACCTCTTGACGATGAGGCAGAGATCTGTGAGATCAAGAAGGCTCAGAACCTGAACGTCTACCTCTCGCCAACAGACAGCTCGGTGCCCAACAGAGTCATTCGCACTATTGTACGAGGAGACTTTGCCAAGATGCAAGAGGAGGCCGAGCAGGGCACTCGTCGGGCCCGTAGCTATCTTGTGGCTACTGATCTGAGCGAGGAATCGGTCTACGCGCTTGAATGGACCATCGGTACAATACTGCGTGACGGAGACACGATGTATGCCATCTACGCCATCGACGAAGAAGGCTCTTCCTCCTCCGCCAAGCTGTCCGAAACAGACCTGCCATCTGTAATGCCAATAACCGACGGGTTCAAGGCCGTACTGGACATGATGACCACGATGCACTCGCAGACAGAAGGCAGTACAAAAGTGCCCACTCGGCCGCCTTCATCTTTCCCTTCGCCGCAAGTCTCAAGCACACATCTCCCTTCTTCGGCCAGCGACAAGGAGAAGGAGAAAGAAAAGGGGTTGGAGAGCGCAACCGGCTCCGTGGATGCCAGGGGTCTACCAAAGACAGAGGCAGACCGCGCCCATGCCATCGACGGCCTTACACAGACATGCGTGCGTTTGATGCGCAAGACGAAACTGCAGGTGCGTGTGGCTGTTGAGGTCATACACTGCAAGAGTCCCAAGCATCTCATCACAGAAGCCGTAAGTCTTGTCCCTCCATGCATGACATGCAATCACACACTCAACATGGGGCCCACACACTAACTGAAATCCTCCTATAGATCGATGCTCTCGAGCCGACTCTTGTCATTCTTGGCTCTAGAGGCCGAAGCGCGCTTAAGGGGTTCGTATAACTTTCTTATCCCGTGTCTAAGTATTTCATGCATACATAGCACAGCCTCAACTAACGCCAAAAAACATATTACTAGTGTCCTTCTGGGCTCGTTCTCGAACTATCTTGTCACCAAGTCCTCTGCTCCGGTGATGGTTGCTCGCAAGAAATTGAAGAAACACGCCAAATTCAAGAACAACCCTCTTCGCTTCTCAAATAACCTCGCCGGCCTGGGAAGCATGAGGCTTGCAAACGCCAAAGTCGACTAGCACCATACCGCTCACGACCGCCGCTTTTTTTCTTCCTTCTTTCACGACACGACTGTTACTGTTTGCCTTTACCTTTTTCCCACGTCTTCTAGCATTGCACTGCATCATCCATTATCTGCTTTTTTAGTCATCATCTTTTAAGGATTCACTTCCCTACATGTCTTATACCACTGCATTGCATTGCATGGTCGTTACCGAAACGAAAGAAGAAAGGAAAGAAAAGAAACCAAAACTCGAACCGAATGCCAAACAAGCGGTCTGCTCTCTGCTTTTATTGCCTTGTTATACCTAGTTATTTGAATTCCCACACTCTCTGCGTACTGCTGCTACTCGTTGTTATGCCTGCCATGTCATGTTCTGGAGTTGTTTACTCTGGCGTTGAGAATGCATAACTTACCTACCTACAGATTTCCATATCAGTGAAACGGCATGGATGGATGGATGGATGGACGGACGGACGGACGGACGGATATGTGATGTGATACGGGTCGGAGTTTTGTTTGCTTGTTACATGTCTCTCTTCTGGTTTGCGTGTTTCTTTGTCATGGAACGGGGGTTTAGTTAGGCTGCTTCATTCAATCAGAGCTGATGTTTTAATCTTTACCCGGTCGTGCATGGCCTTTCAATGAATCATTAAGGTAGGTAGGTGTGTACGTATGTATCCACACCCCTTTTTTTCCGTAGAAAATGTATTCCTTTCGCTGACAGAGATGAAGACAGCTAGTGAATGCGGGAGACGGATACCCCTATTCGTATTCGTTTGATACCTAGTGAAGACTCGGCTCTTCACTCTGCTGTCTGAAGCCCTATATATAACCCTCTTACTTCCCCCTGGACTTCATCCTTTTCTACGGAACCCATCGTCCTCTACACCTAATAGATCATTCCTCATACCCAAACTACCTACCGCATGGGCTAGGATGTAAATACCCCAGCGTCTTCCACTGGCTGGCCATTACTAGACTTAAAGAACAATGGCGTATTTGTTCGCTAGCAAGACCTATACATTTAAAATGTCCCCCGAGGACAAGCTGATCGACAAGCACCCGGAGTCTCTCTTGGGGATAAGGGGACTCGGAGATGATGTGCCTGTGGAAATGCAAAGCCTGAGGAAGCATGAAGAGAATAACTATCAGCTTGCAGTCTGTAAGTTCTTTTTCCGCCCTCCGCTTCGGCTTGCTTCTCTGATACTGACTTTTCCTAGTGGATGAAATCGATCTCGGGTCCCTTTGAATAACAGCCTCTATACCCATGGTACTCCCCATGGTGGTCTAAGTTTACTCTTCAGGGGTCATGATGATTTCAGCAGGACGCCCCTCAATCAACAAGACAATGTTCTCAGACTATGGATTCTTTCCTCAACCCAGGCGGTCGCAGCCACGGTAATCAGCGTGAGGTATACCAGTCTACATCCGCGGTAGACCCGATGACGAGCTGTTCCATCATTTATACCAGATATTAGCAGAGAGCACCAACATAGACTCCAGTCGCTGATATTCGGGGTTAATATACTACCATGCAAGTCATACTTCTCCTCTTTTCGACTATTTAGATACTTGATCGTCAACAGCACGGATGCAATGCCGCTCTGGAGATGGAAACAGGTGTCTCATACCCAATGCTGTGGCACTTTGATCGTGAGAACATTCGCAGGTCACAGTTCTCCTTGCTTAATGATATTCGACCCCAAAGGACTTCTTCTGGCTGGCAGACCCTGAGCGACTAGAAGAAATCATTGCGTCAGCTGAAACCCCAGGCTTTCTCACAACACAGCTACTATACAGCTAAATGGATGGCTGTTTCTCTACCTTGTTATCGAAGCGCTAGGCTGGATGAGGCTATGAATTTAGCTTGCCGTGGTAAACTTCCCCTGGTACAGCCATTGCATCTAGAAGCTCCTAGTGCCTGTGTTTGCGGTTATTGCTTTAATCTCGGAGTGTGTTGCATGCGTATATTGAGGGAGCTTTGCGATCCGTCGTCGTACCAGGACTGATGTCCTGGTGGAACAGCGAATTGAATGAAACCGGCCCATATTCGTTTGCTGCCTTGTTCGCGTTGTTTATCAAATGTGTATGGCACAAAGAACCAGCCCACAGTCCTGGAGTCCCTGGAGTGCAACAGGACAGAGACTACTCCTTGTGACTGTTGTCGTTACTCTAAAAATAGGGCTTGTGGCTATGTATGTGTGAATCTCCTCTTGTTTTCCATGGCAGTTGCTAATTGTTCTGTTTCTTAGATTTATCCTTGCTTAATCCCAGAGGCCAATGCCCTGTGCGTTGCCCATGATAACTACATTGAGTGCCTGGATGCTGTGGAACAGTCTTCGACTAGCCTGGAGACCTGTGAGACTGTCTTAGCTGAGGCACAAGTTGCATTCTCAGCTGAGAAGGCCAGCACCTGGGGCTCACGACTTTGATGCACATGAGTTGGCCTGCCAGTTGCTCCAAGCACTTTTCGAACATCCTGGTGATCCGTCAAACTCGCCCATCTGTGTACTTATTGTTATCCGTGCATGGGATCTCAAGGGTGATAGGTGGTGTTTACTAGTAGAAGTCGCATCTTTGATGTTGAAGATTATCTACAATATGTAAACACTTCTAAATTGTGCTCCCAGTTTATATTTCACGGACGCAATCAAACATCTAGCCCCCCTGCCCGATGAAGAGAAGTCCACGAATAGATACCCCTGATACAGGCTCTGATGGTATTCAACAAGAGATCTACCAGCGTACCCGCTGTCCCAAACCCACGGGCTTCCACAGTGTACCAGGGCTCATTTGCCATTTATGTACTCGAATCTTCTATATACTTATTAGCAATGTATATACTATAAAAAAGAGAAAATAACCTACTCTGGCTTTACATCTTGCATCCAGCGAGGTCCGGCCAATCGCAGGTCTGGGTGGCGGCGTTGAAGTGCAGGCCTCGATCGCATGTATAGAATGTGGACAATCCAGTGAAAGTTCCGTCTTTTCGCACTTCACATTTGACGAATCTGGTACAATCGCCAGGAACAGGCAAGTTCCATACAGCGACAGTAGCGGCTTTGCATATAGTAGCACCAAGGGCGCCTCCTTCGTCGCCTCCGTCGTCGCTCAACTGTGCAGTCGCAAAGGGCAGCAGGGTGGCAGCTCCGAGAGCCAGAAGCGATGAGGCGCGCATGGTGAGAGGCGAGAATATGGGATGTTGACTTCTAGAGAGATATCAAGGACGGATACAAGAAAGATAACTATAGAATCGAGGAGATGGCTGCCAATTTATAGACTGAGCGAAAAAGCAATATAGTCTATGCAACTAGTTAAATAGCTTGATTTTTTGGTGTTATCGCTCGATATGCCATCGAAACTGCCGGCCAAGGGAGAATGTCTTCGCGATGCTGCAAGTAAAAGACAAAAGACGAGAAAACTGGCCACTAGGGGAGAATGCAGGCTTCACGTTTGTGCCTAATGCGCCCTTGGCTGCCTCCTGCAGGCATGCTGGTGGAGCGCGCGGAGGACACTGTATCTGTATCACATCGCCTTCACGGCCTCGACGACGTGGCTGTGGCCGCCGCTAGTTAACTACCTAAGTTAGCTTCGGCGAGCTGGAGATCCTTCAGGAACTTCAAGCACGAGTTACCCGGTGCCATGAAGAGCTTAACTGAACGCTTATTCCTTGCAGCAGCCCGTCACGGCGTGTTACGGCGGACTGAGCGAGCCATAGGCTTATTCGCCCTTATATCTCGCCCGTACGAGTTGATATATCCTGGTAGATTAACGTCTTTTACTAAATTATGAGTTATTCTAGTTTTATTAATCTTCGAAGGATAAACTCTTAGAGCTATCTTCATGATTTTAAAGGTGTATCAAATAGCATAGTATCTATCTAAGCCATGATAGTTATCTAGTCGAAGCAGTACTAGCCTAACCGAGATATATACAATCCCACCACGGATATTCCCTTTAGTTACTCGCACACATTACCCAGGGATATCTTGGGGCATTAGGCCTTTTTGTTCCTTGTGGTCCAGCAATATCCTAGGTACTGACTGCAACGTCAAACCAACCATCCAACTCCAACATCACGAGCCGACCCAGTTCCGTGGATCCACCCTCTCGTGTCCCAACTTCATCCATATCCTGGAGAGTTTTGTCTATATATTCACTGGCCCCGGAGAGGCGAAGGATATGAGCAATGGCACGTGAATAGTGAGAAGATGGGGCGATGGAAGCTCTACTGATTAGTCAATGGTAAGAGTTTGTGTGTAACTGAGAGCTCTGGCGAGGGTTCACCGACTTTTATCAAAAACTCGTCGGGTAAGAAATCGTTGAAGCTAGATAAACTATCACGCAGCTGGTCCTCCTTGCCCATCATATCGGGAATCTGATCCGCAGCAATATCCAGGCTCAGGCAGTCAAAGAATGCGCGTAGAAAGGTGTCCTGAGACAGCTCAGAGCGGGAATATCCATATGTATGGCGGACAAGCAAAGGGCGGCTGTAAGAATCGCCGGATCCTCTGGTGCTGAAATGGTTGATGATGCTGTAGAATCGGTGCTTCGCACGAGCGCGTTCATCTGCTGCCAGGGGAACGGGGCCTGAGAAGTTGATAATCCCCTGGCGATGCCTTGCCAGTGTCTGGTTGTATTTACTTCTGTCACTGGTGAACGTTCATGTTATCGAATAGAGTCGATTCATATTGTCGGATCAGTATCCTTGGGTAATGTGTGTGAGTCTAGCTACAGTGGAATATGCCTTTGGAAATAGTCAGTAAAATATAGATCAAAGAAAATCAGCAATACCAGGGCTGGACAATCAGGTAGTTAGCGCTGCACAAACCTTTTCACTATATCCAAAGTCACTAAGCAGTGGTTTAATGACAAAATTGTTTATAAGAAACGAAGGCAACTGCTATGACGTATTTTATGACTGGCAGGCGAAAATGCTGCTACCGTCATATTACCATTATAGAATAGACGAAAGGGTCCATTTTCCTCCTTCGCGATGCGTACTTAAGTAGGTTGTCGAAGAGACAATTCTGTGCACGATGACACCATACGGCTGTGTCTTATGTGGCCAAGAGGTCGATAGGGGCAATGCACACGCCAACGAAAAACCGCCATGAGTACCGAATATCGCGCATGTAAGTATCAATCAGTATATGGATTAAATTCGTTCATAAGTGCTCACTGAATCTGGAGTGTGTGTCAACCCAGCACGAGATATGAAGCCAGAGGTGTCTGGTGTAGGCTTAAACTATGTTCTGCGCTTCATGTATAGAGCTCCGCTCAACTTTTACGGCCGGTGGGATGATCAAGGGTACGACTTGGGAATTGTCAGTCGTGATCCCGATGATAGCGTGGAATTCGGCAGGCGCACTGCGGTTCAATTAATGCAGTGTCGCTCTGGCTTTATTATCCATGCCCCATGCTATTCCCTTCTAGAACAGCTCTTCAGCCCTGAAGACGTTCCAGTAGCCCGCCTGATGGAGATATTGTGGTCCTGTTCCACTATTACATGCAGTCTGAACGTCCTCGATTGGGGCCATGAATATGGAGGGACCTTCACAGTCGGAGGTTGTTATCCTTGGGAGAATAGGGCCACATATCTGAGGTAGAAGTATGGCCCAGTTGAAGGTGATAGTGAATTCGTATTCCGGGATCCTTGGACAGTGTTTAAGGACGGGAAGTCCCTAGGAAAATTTGTGCGAAGAGCACGGTTCAACGACAAGCGAAAAAAACGGCAGCTGCTTGAACGAAGCCCAGCCGTAATGAGTGGCGATGCTGCACCTAATCACCTATCAAGACTTTCCCTCGAAATTCTAGAGCTCATTGCTGTTCAGCTGCGCACTAGTGATGTATTGGCCTTGTCCCAGGTCTCGAAAGTATTGGCCAGGGCTATCCCTTCTGGCTTTGGGCAGTCCTTTTGGAGGTCCCGGTTCCAGCCCACGTTTGAGCTTGGTTATATGTTCGAGGCCAACATGAGCAACGAACCGCTTAATTGGAGATGGCTCTACTTCAGATGTAGGGAGATAGCGCCTTTCACGCCAGAGCTCAAAAACAGAATGCGCATCTGGAAACTCCTCCAGTTGCCCGTGTCTGAACTGGTAGCCTTGGGTTGGAGCGGTGATCCCTCACTCCGTCCTTTGAATATCGGATGGCACCAGCTGAAATGGGGAAGACGTGGAGGATTACTTCGTCTCCATGAGACACCTGGTTCGGAGATATTGGATTTTGGAGAGGGATGCAAGGAGTTTTACGTTCAACGAACAGCTCTCCCCGGTGATATTTGCCAGCTTATCGTAACCACCATAAGGGTTGGTGCTGCTCCTTTTGTTAGCGGGCTCCGCTTCGTCACCGAGGAAGGCCCGGATATATGCCTGGGGTACACGAGAGGAGGAGAGAAGAAGTATCTGGATGTTGTCAACGGGTTGAAAACGCCAACAGGATTGCGAGGATTTGATCTCTCAGTAGGGCATAGAGGAATCCACGGCCTCAGAGCAATAAGCCAGGACGGCAAATGCTCCGAATGGGCTGGCCTGAGACACTCGCAACTCAGGCCAAAACATCTTGTAGTGTCAAAGGACGCTGTTATTGGCCTGGAGGCAGGATTTGACGTAAGTTCGCCGTCATCCTATTGGTGCTAGTTAAGGCTCATTTGGCTGGCAGCTATCACAGGGATTCAAAATGGTCCGGCTTTCAATTGCGGAAGACAGATTAAACGTGGAAAACCCGATATGTAAGATGTTGACATATTTGCCTTATTTGGGGATTTAGCCCTAACCAGTTGACAGGTCCATAACTAGTTAGATCAAGTAGCTTAAATATTTAAATGTCACTGGCTACGCTTAATATCAACTTCAACTTCAACTTCACTTCATCAACATCGAGAACTCCATAACTACTTACAGAGCATCCAGAGAAAGCCGTGGAACCGACACGGCCCACCGACTGGCGACCTATGTAGAGGTAGGCGGATCCTAGTTCCAGGGCCACGCGGGCAATAGCCGACTGGATTCAGATCTGAAGATGGCGAAGATGCCCCGTGTTAACCATCAGCCTGCCAACTCTCGATAATCTATCAACCAACTATGCAGTCGGCGCATTCCTTTGTCTCTCTCGACATGATGTATTGGTTGGCTTGTTAGTTAAAACGCCACATGTTGGACAAGAAGGGATGGCTGCATGTCTCTCTTGTTTGTCAAACGACCAACATGCCTTGTCGAATTATGGGATGCGAATCATAGGGAGATCTTCCGTTCAGGTGGCTTCTGTTATGCAGAGTATCCCTGAAAATGTGGAACTATTATCAATGATACCCTAGAGAACGGGAGGGAGGCAGCTCCCGGGTCTCCTGACGGGGCTAACAAACAGATTGCCAATGCCCTGGAGCTTTTCTAACCGACCTCAATTTCTCCTGGCTTCGTCTTGGTGCCCTTACGAATGGTTTCCTTTATTTTTTGGCCGCTCGTATTCTCCGTTTGCTCCTGTTGAAGAGAATGTTCAACTGTAGGGAGTACAGCTTTGCCTGTACTTGCTATATCTGTAGAGTTTGCGCCTCTTGCCCATGAAAAATAAATGAGAATCTCATTGTTTTTTCACAGCAAATCTGACTCGCTTTGACTGCATTAACCTAAACACGGCCCTTTGGTACGTCATTTGTTGTGGTCGGTCAAGCGCAAATGGTGAGGAAGCTGCACTTTTCATTCTTGACCGAATACCCGATACTGATTCACTAGGGACACATTCTGAGCCGCTACCTTGCTCTCGGAGTCATATTTTATTTAACACTGCAATCGTCTGCAAGGTCGATATCCTCCAGGTTCTCAAGCAAGACATCGAGAGCCACTGTTTCCGCCACTAAATCCAATGGAGTTTCAATAAACTACACCACCCCAGACCAAGGGACTTGCGAAACTGCATTTGACGACCAAAAACAATATACTGGATATGTCAGCCTTCCCCCGTCTACAATAGGGCCAATTCAGCAAAACTATTCCATAAACACCTTCTTCTGGCTGGTGGAGTCGAGGTTCAATCCTCAAAACGCACCACTCACGGTGTATTTGAATGGTGGCCCTGGGAGCACCAGCCTTGTGGGCGTGTTTCAGGAGACAGGGCCATGCGAAGTTATTGAAATCGCAAAGGATAGAATTGGTACGCACACGAGAGAATGGGCTTGGGACAGGAGCAGTAATATGCTCTACATTGACCAGCCCGCGCAGTCAGGTTTTTCATTTGACCGATTACAGGAAGGCTCCTTGAATCTACTTAATTCGACATATATATTTCCTCCTGCTGAGCCACCTGTGAACCAGTCTCGAATCACCTGGCTTGACGGTGTTACTTCTTCAAATGATGCTCAGGTCACCACAAACACTACTTCAACAGCCGCAAAGGCGATCTGGCACGTTCTGCAAGTGCTTCTAGCGGAATTTCCACAGTATTCCTCAGTATCACAGGGTACGGCGACCATTAACCTGTTCTCAGAGAGCTATGGGGGAAAATATGCTCCAAACTTCGTTTCTTATTTCGAAAAGCAGAACGCAGAGATAAGAGAAGGCAGACTCTCTTCCGCTGATACACTCGAAATAAACGTTCGATCTATTGGAATTATGCAAGGCTGCATCGATGACCTTGTTCAAAACCCCTATTTCCCGATATTTGCATACAACAATACTTATAATGTCAGCGCAATCACACAAGAAGAGAAGCACAGCTTTTTGGAAAACTTCTCTAAGACGGGTGGTTGTCGAGATAAAATTATCGATTGCCGAGAAGAAATTAATGCTTCTGATCCTGAAAATACTGGCGCCGTAAATGTTGTGAATGGAAAATGCCTAGAGGCTCTTTCTACTTGTTTGGCGGATACACCCAACTTATTCTCGAAAATCGGACGTAGCGGCCATGATATCTCCCAGAGCAGCCTTGATCCGTTCCCGCCTCATACATACCTTGAATATCTCAATCAGGAACAGGTACAGAAGTCAATCGGGGTTCGAATGAATATCACAGACTACAGTTCTACTGTTTCAACCGCATTTCTCAGTACCGCAGACTATGATCGTGGTGACTATATTTCCGAGTTAGCCAAGCTGCTTGATAAAGGGATACGAGTTGCTCTTATATACGGCGACAGAGATTACGTATGCAACTGGATGGGCGGCCAGGCAGCCGCATTTGCGATTGCAGCGTCATCTTCATCCCTGAGCGGTTTCAACGCCGCTGGCTATGCACCCCTCATCATCAACGATACCTATGTCGGGGGCATGACCCGCCAGTTTGGCAACCTCTCGTTCTCCCGAATATATGACGCCGGCCACTTGATACCTGCCTACCAGCCGGAGACACTCTTCACGCTCTTCTCGCGCATCATCCAGGGACCAGTTGATCTATCCACTGGCCAAAAGGTAGATATTTCCACGTTCAGCACTAAAGGTGAGGCAAATACTACAGCAACCAATTCGGCTCCTCCGATAGCTAAGCCGACGTGTTACCTTCGGAAGGTGAGAGATACCTGCTCACAGGAGCAAGTGGAGAAACTAACCCGTGGAGATGGGGTTGTCATCAATGGAGTTTGGTATGAATCCGAATCTGATTGGAAAATGCCGTCTCCTACCCGAAAAGACGGGAAGGAGGGTGCAGCTTGGGCCGGGAGGGATGGGAGTGTGGCCCAAGCCTATGTTGCTACCAGCACCCCATCAATGATAGGGCAACGCTCAGTTAAACGTTCGGAGGGGACGAAGCAATTTGATGCTTCGAGACTGGTTGGTTTCATTTCAGTGATTTTTGCAGGGCTCAATACCGTCTCATTACTATCTTGAACCCCTTGTCTTGGGGGGATTTTCTTGATCTACTGTTCATGCACATTATTGATATTTTGGGAAAGATATAGCTATACTACGCCTAGACGATTTTTAATTTAAATGAAGAGTTAATGGAGTATCTCGGATGTAACGAGTTGAAAGGAAATTGACTATCCCAAGAAACGTAGTTGCCATAGAGAATGACTGCTGTGAGCATATAAATATCAAATGCTTAGATACAATACCGAGAGAAAGGATAAATTAATAACAAAAATCTAGCCCCTTTTCCTCTTCATTTCATACACAAACGAGGTGAAGATCGTGTGCCTTATGCATCTATGAGGTTGTTATCGGTGGGGGCTGCGGGCTCGGCAGTGGTATCCCGGGTGTCCTTGGTTGGTCTGGCCCGACCCTTGCTGGAACGCTGGTAGAACTCGTCGATAACCTTCTTGGGAATACGGTTGAGGAGATCCTTGGGGTAAATTCGGAGAAGGTTCCAGGCAAGGTCCAACGACTCCTCGATAGTTCGAGACTCGTACGCAGATTGAGAAATGAAGGTTCTCTCAAACTTATCCAAGAATTCAAGCGATAGCTTGTCTTCAGAGGACAGAGCTTCTTCACCAACGACTGCCTTCATGGCGGCTATATATTCATTGTGAGAAATTGTAGCTTAAGTGTTTCAATGTGTACAGGGAAGCTTACCGGCATCACGACCAATGGCGTACTTGGCGTACAGCTGGTTTGAGACATCACCGTGGTCTTTGCGGGTTCGGCCCTCACCGATGGCAGACTTCATCAATCGGGAGAGAGATGGAAGCACGTTGATTGGCGGGTAGATACCCTTGTTGTCAAGCTGACGATCGATGAAAATCTGACCCTCAGTGATATAACCAGTCAAATCAGGAATTGGGTGAGTGATATCTGAGGTTTCGGGTTAGTGTCATGTTATTTGAGAAGGAACGGGTCTTAGATAAGATAGCACACGTACCATCGTTAGGCATAGTCAAAATTGGAATCTGAGTGATAGAGCCGTTTCGTCCCTGGACTCGTCCGGCACGCTCATAAATTGTGGACAAATCAGTATACATATAACCGGGGTAACCACGACGTCCGGGCACTTCTTCTCTTGCTGCCGAGACCTCACGAAGGGCGTCACAGTAGGCTGAGAGGTCAGTCAAGATAACGAGGACGTGCTTCTCGAGCTGGTAAGCGTAATATTCTGCGGTGGTAAGAGCAAGACGAGGTGTAATGATACGCTCGATTCTATGCCAATTTCGTTAGCCCTATCCCTGTATTGGAGGCCCTTTAGAGGAATAGGCTAAACTTACGTGGGGTCGTTGGCAAGGTTAAGGAAGAGGGTGACACGCTCCATACTGCCATTCTCCTCGAAGTCACGAGTGAAGAATCGACTGGTCTCCATGTTGACACCCATAGCAGCGAAGACGATGGAGAAGTTGTCTTCGTGGCCATCGTGTACATCCTTGGTTGGCTTCTTTACCAAACCTGCCTGACGACAAATCTGTGCAGCAATTTCATTGTGAGGGAGACCGGAAGCTGAGAAGATAGGGATCTTTTGTCCACGGGCGATTGAGTTCATAGTATCAATGGCAGAGATACCAGTGGAAATCATTTCTTCTGGATACACCTAGTGTGATCGTGGGTTAGCCTGAGCTCGCAAACCATTATCCTGAGGAAACTCACTCGGGAGTAAGGGTTGATAGGACTGCCATTGATGTCAAGGTATTCCTCGGCAAGAACCTTGGGTCCCTTATCAATAGCACGACCGGATCCGTCGAACACTCGACCCAACATATCTTCCGACACACCCAACTTCATGCTGTGGCCGGAGAACTCGACTTTGGTCTTTATATACCGAGTTAGCATATGTATTTCCGTACAGGGGCTGTAATATAAGCTTGTTCACCACACCTTTTTGACATCGACACCTGTGGTACCCTCAAACACCTATTAAGCCACATCAAATCAGCATTCGTTATACATCGAGGCAGAGGTCGACGTGCTGACCTGGACGACAGCTCTGTTTCCTAGTAGTAGATGGACATGTTAGCAGACGTTCCAACCGTACAGTCACTGCGGGACCTGCTTCACCAACCTCTAGCTTCCAGCACCTGACCAGATCGTTCAGATCCGTCTGGCAGCGTAAGCGATACAATCTCATTGTATCTGGGGAATTTGACCTATACCAAGCGCCCCATCCCAAATCATCAGTACATCTGCCATCCAACATATCGGGAAGCTGGTGTGTCTAGGAGCTCACGTTGTCGAGGATGACCAAGGGTCCGTTAACACCACCAACGGTGTTGTACTTCAGCCGAGGCTGGACGGAAGCCATCCGGCGGTCTTCTATGCCTGGTGCCATGGCTGCGAGGAGCTAAGACGGCCGTAAATGATATCCAAGGTGCAAGTAGCGTGTGTGCTTCGAGCGGTCGAGGGGAAGCGGGTTGTTCTCTACCATCGCCAGCAACAACATCGAAACGACGTCAACTTTGGGATGTTTCCCAGCTCCCGTCCTCCAGCCAATCACAGACCGAACTCTGTTTTGCTTAGTCATTGTCACGTGAAATATACACTTCTGCGCTTTCTTTTGTTTACTTCAACGTCAACTTCAACGTCAACAACGGGCACAGCGACGAAGAAACGGAAGATGGGGGTCAAAGGAGGCTGGAGAGGCGCCGGACAGTCTCCAGGATGCTTGCCACCGTCGTTGAGAAAGCCTTTTCGGCTACTAGATTGCGGCTCTGGCTTTGTACTCCAGCAGCAAGGCTCAGCACGACGCTGATCGACCACCACAAAGGCGGGAAAATGAAGATTAGAATACGACCGCCAATCAACCCGGAATCCATGCGTGGCTGAACACTCGATTTATTGGCCCAGGGTCGACGTTGCACTGGGTGAAACAGCCTGTTGACTGCCAGCCCACACCGTCTAAAGCGGAAACGGTGCCCGCCTGCTGCGGAGCTCAGTGATCATAAATACGAAAGGCTGCTTCGTCACTATCGAGAATTCCTTGCGAGGAGAGATCGACTCTGTAGTTCAGCTTTAAAATCTTCTTCTTTTCTCCCCCTTTTGTACAGTTTTAAAAGTATATAACCTGGAGAATCGCCGCCCGACGCGGGTTGTGGGCAAAAGCCATTTGCAGGCTGAAGACGTGTTAATACTAGCTAGCTACCAGGATGCTGATGTTCAGCTCAGGGGCTCGCGCTCGCCTGGCATGGCGACAGTCGAGTCAAGACAACCATAATTGCACCACCAACGAAGGAGTGGGAGAATGCATCCCCAAGGCAAACTGTATGGTTACTTTTCACAATTTAGACACAAAATGCCAAAAAGTGCTATTCTGACATGCGACGGTCCATAGGCCCAGGTGTATCTACTGCTGGAATATGTGATCCTGGAACAGATAATATTGAAGTGCTTTGCCCTTCCGACTCGCAGTATCTCCAAGTGGCTCTATGGATATGAATTCTAATTCATTGACTAGTGCTGCCTTGTTCGTGTTTGCAATGTGCCCCAAGGCCATGGTGTGTGCAGAAGCATGCGAAATAATGGATGTGAGGATGGCAAGTTCTTTCCTGGAACTGGCAAGGTGTGTAAAGCCCTAAAAGCTGTTTGAGGAACAGAATCTAACCTGTGCCGTTAGCCATGGCCATGCCCAGGTCCAAATGACATCAGTTGCTGTGTCAAATTCACCGACATGAATAACGGCACAAGCACCGCAACGTCAGTGTCCATGACATCTTTAACCTTTACAACCTCCCAGACTACTTCACCAAGCACATCCTCCGCAACCTCTTCAAGCGTACCGGTACCACCTCGTACCGGTTTAAGTGGTGCCCAAATCGGTGGAATAGCAGCTGGATGTGCTGTTTTTGCTCTATTGATCATTTTGGGAGCTACATACTTCTTCAGGCGCCGCAACGTAGCGGGTTCCAAACAAGAAAAGCCGGATACATCCGATAGCGGGATTTCAGAGATGCCAGATTCCGCTGGAGTTGCTCCTCGTGCGCCAAAGGCAGCAGTCTTTAGTGAACTAGACAGCAATGAAGCGAAGATTGATAAAAGCGCTGCTGTGAACCGGGCCCGAGAACTGGATTCAACTCCCATTTCATCGCCCGTCGAGCTCGATTCGTCTCCTATCGAACCAAAGGAAGCAAGGGTTTAATTTATAATGTATGGATACTGGGAGGCCTGGACCGGATGGGATTTCTAACAAGCTGGCGTTCGGGCATAACATTCGCAATTAATCACAGCACATGAATCATTATTCAACTCGATTTGTACCTTATAATGAACTATTTGATTTTTCTCTTCGATAGAACACGACGACATCAATCTAGTATACCCCCTATTTACTACCCCGAAAGCTTTATTTTCCAAGTTATTATATATTCATGTGTCTAGATAACTCCAAGTCCTGACATTTTTCAGTTGACCGACCCATCATAAAAGTTCCAGGTCCTCGCTGAGTCTATCCGCTTATTTAAAATCTCAGGTCCCAGCCAATCTTAGGTCCAAGCTCTGGCAAAGCATCGGCAACGCTCTGCACGTCCTTGTCACCTCGTCCACTCAGATTGAGCACAATGTTCTCGCCCTTCTTCATTGTCTTGGCGAGCTCGATTGCACCGTAAACGGCATGCGAAGACTCAAGGGCTGGAATGATACCCTCCAGCTGCGAAATGGTCTTGAATCCAATCAGAGCCTCCGCGTCGGTGGCAGCAATGAATTTGGCTCTAGCGGAGTCCTTCCAGTTACTCAACTCCGGTCCAACACCGGGGTAATCCAATCCAGCAGAAATCGAATGAGTGTCTGAGATCTGGCCGTGTTCGTTTTGTAGGACGTACGTTCTGACTCCGTGTAGCACGCCCTTCGAACCCCCTGTAAGGGTAGCCGAATGGCGCGCGGTGTCAACACCGTCTCCACCGGCTTCAACGCCAAGGAGTTTGACACTGGAGTCGTTGGAGAAGGGGTAGAACATGCCTACCGCGTTGCTTCCACCGCCAACACAAGCGACGACAGCATCCGGTAGACGGCCGGTGAGTTCTTTCATCTGCACCTTGGTTTCTTCTCCGATGACGGACTGGAATGTTCGGACGATGGTTGGGAAAGGATGAGCTCCAATGGCTGAACCGATGACATAGTGAGTTGTGTCGAGGTGGACGACCCAGGCGCGCAAGGCTTCGTTGACCGCGTCACGGAGAGTACGTGATCCAGCCTCAACGGGAATGACAGATGCACCTAGCAGTTTTATTCTGAATACGTTCAAGGCTTGGCGACGAACGTCCTCTGCTCCCATGTAGATGACACACTCCATGCCGAACTTGGCGCAGACAGTGGCAGTAGCGACACCATGCTGACCGGCACCAGTTTCAGCAATAATTCGCTTCTTTCCTAGGCGGCGGGCAAGAAGGACTTGGCCTAGGGCGTTGTTAATTTTGTGACTGCCTGTGTGGTTAAGATCTTCTCTCTTGAGATAGATGTTAGCTCCACCAGCATGCTCAGTCAGGCGCTCAGCAAGATGAAGACTGCTTGGGCGGCTCATGTATGGGTAGTAAGAACGATATTCCTCCCAGAACTTCGGGTCATTCTTGGCCTCGTTGAATCCAGCTTCAAGTTCAGCCAGACAGTCCATCAACGATTCGGGGACAAACTGGCCTCCAAATTCACCGAACTGTGCAGGGATAGCTGCAGGGTTCTTAGTGACATTAAGAGCCTCAATCTGGTCTGCAAGGCCAGGCTCATCAGCTGCTTCGGGGACAGGGCCACGCTGGACGGTTCGGCCTGTGATGCTTGAACAGTATTCACGGATCTTCTGGGGACGTTCACCTGGAGCAGCATTGCCCAGGACAGTCACCATCTGACTGCCAATAACAACACCCTCTGCAATACCCTGAACTTCAAGGAAGTGCTCTCTTGTGCTGACGCCGAATCCTAGAGCAGCAGGGACGTTTCCAGAGTATGTGTGTACTCGCTTCAACAAGTCTGGCAAGCCAGTGCTTAAGGTACCGGTGGCGCCAGTGACACCCATTCGAGAGACGACATAGATGAAAGAGTCGGCAATCCCGCAGAGAAGCTTCATACGAGCCTCGGAAGTAGCTGGTGCAATCAATGGGACATAAGAGAGTCTTAAACCGCATCACGTCAGCGTCCATACTCCTCAGGTACCGAAAACAGGGGGAACAAAGCAACTCACCCTTCCTTTTTGCACAGATCTCTGAACCGCACGGCCTCCTCTGGTGGCAAGTCAACCATGATGAAACCATTGACTCCCGCGGCTTTGGCATCCTTCAACATTCTCTCTTCACCATACTGTAATAGGGGGTTATAGTATCCCATCATCAGCACAGGGGCCTTGAGTCCCTTCCTCCTGGCAGTTTTAATCATCTCAAGGACAGAAGTGACAGTGACTCCATTCTTAAGAGCCTGAGTGTTTGCGCGCTGAATAGTAGGGCCATCGGCAATGGGGTCTGTGAACGGAACTCCAAGCTCGATTATATCTGCACCGAAATACGCATTAGACGCTGGATCTGAACTGAATGTCATATAGATGATCTAGAAAATCTCACCTGCACCACCATCTTCCATGGCAAGGATGATATCAACCGTCTCGCTGGCCTCGGGGTACCCCGCTGTGACGTACGCCACGAGGGCGGATCTCTTCTCCTCCTTGCATTTCTCAAATGTCTTCTTTATTTGCTCCATCGTGGATAGCGTTGTGTATTGTGTGTGTCACTCGAAGTTGCTGCGGGTGAAGATACCTGAGAGCAACTCAGTTCAGCTGGGGGAGGCGTGGGTAGCTATATGTATGCACGGCCTGGCCTGACAATACCAGCGTAGAGAGCTGTGGTGGGGCAATCACTGGCCTAGGGATTTTGCTATACGAAGCAAAAGCTGTCAATTGACAAGGAATAGGCTGTGTCTGCTGCGTATTCTTGAGAGCTTTGTCTGGAGGTAGGAATAATAATCGAGGGGGGGAAGTCGTTTGGGAGCAGTTTTGGTCGTTGCGCTGACTCAAATTTTTGATAAGCCCGAATTAAGATTTCGCCCCACGCAAAGACCAGACCAGTTTGCGTTTATTTATAGCATTCGGCGGACGTTGTGGAGTTTGATTTTTTGATACCAAAGTTGAATTTGAAGAGGATGTTGAATGTTAAAATAAACTCCAATATTTATTTCTTCCGTTTCCCAAGGTCAAATCCAAGATAGCTAAACTAAAACAATTAAACAAAATAAAAGATCCAAAATTACAAGTCTGCTAGCAAGCTCAAACAAAACACGAAATCAAGACACAAAAACATCGAATCGCAAATTCCCTTTTTTAAAACACGAACAGACAAACAGAAAGACGACAAGCAGTAAAACGGCAAAAATTCACAGAAAGCAGTTCTGTAGTCCCGTACCCATATCCGATGCAAATGCTCTGTCTATAACCGATAACAATGGAAAAGGAGTGTAACCCATGCGGAATAAAATAATTCGACGCAGGCAGAAAAAAGCGCATTAACAATCAATGCTAAAAGGAGTGAAACCAGCCCAACTCGGAGTCTTTTTAATGCATGCAAAAATGCGGAAAAAAACGCTGCTGTGTGCTGTGGTTTGTGCGGCCTTGGGCAGAAACAAGCACGTCTGTACAAGTGGTAGGTGGATAAGGAAGGTCGGGGAGATGGTGAGACGGTGAGGTAAGGATGGCGAGGAAAGGCGGAGCGGAGCGAGGCGGTATGAGTGTGCCAACGGTGGTGGTTGTGGTGAGGTTCGAGGGAAGGACAGTATTATGATTAGTGCGTCATTAGGGGTAAAGGAAAGGCATAACCCAGGAGGCTTTTGTGCGCGGACGCATGGCGCAGAAAGGAAAGTAGTAGTGACAAGTATTAGAGGACTCGGGCTAATAAGCGGAGTCCTTTTCTTTTTTCCGGTGAAAAATAGTCAAGATGATAAATATGCAACCAACACCACGCTTGTTTCTGATAAAGGTCGTTAAAGGAGTGACGGAAGGAAATTCGTAGACAGTTGCCTTGGTTCTCTCACTTGGCGGAGAAAGGAGAGAAAAGGAGGCAACCTCTCAATAACTGGTAGCATCGGGGTATGTAAGGAGTGACTGACGGGACCCAAACTCTCAAGAAATGCTGAACACGGAACACGAAACAAGGCGAATTAATGGCAAAAACGGGAGAGAAATCGAAGCAAAATTCGCTATGCAGGCAGAAACGAGCAAGTTGAAATGGAAACAAGGAAGAAGTGGAGTCGACGAATGGAATTTGACCGGGTTCAAATGCTGAGGTGAGATTTTCCTTTCCCGGATTTAAGAGCTCTGGTACGTTGGCATTTGGTTATGGCCGATATACGCGCTGAAATCAAACGAGGCCTGGCTGGGAACAATGACTGGGGATGGCTGGATGTGTCGGCTGGAAATGCCAGAGTAGTTGTACGCAGCGGTCAAACTTGGGTGAGGTGCAGCACTAGTGCCCATGATAGGTAGATAGCTAGATGGAGCAAGGTGAGCGGTAGTGTGGGATTGAAGCGTGTTGGTAACGCTGTTGGACTGCGGATGCCCAGCTGGAGAACCAGAGCGAACATCCACGAGACTTGCGCTGGACATGTTAGGGCTACCCGAATAGTTTGACCGAAGCGGGGCTGGCAAAGCCGCAGCTGTGGAAGAGTAGCTGGCGGAATACTTCCCAATGATCTTCTTGAGGGCATGTGTGAGAATCTTCCAGGGGAAAACCTTGACATCCTTCTCGATGTTGCGAGGCTTGGGGTTTGGGAAACCCATAATCACCTTGAAGAAATCTTCGCTGTCTGGCTTGGCCTTGGATACGGTCATGGGACGGAACCCTTCAAGGTTGCGGCGGATGCGGTTCTTTTCTTCGACAGTGAAACGGACGCCAACGAGAGACTCGAGCAGATAGATGGTATCTACGCTGGTGACGTAGCACTCCTTCTTGCCAACCCATTGAATGCAGCTAATGCAGATGCTGTTGGGAGCACGCTCAGAAGGAGACACCGGCTTGAAGTCAGCGTGGATGGTGCTGCCTTCTTGGCGGCGAGTGAACTGCACCAGGCGGCGCTGGGCTTCACACTCCTCGGGCTTCCAGTTGAGGGCCATGGCGTCAAGGTCACCGTTGAGCTTAAGAACGGCTTTGCTTGGGTACATCGCGTATGGGTTGAATGGCGCATTGGGGCTTGGAGCTCCAGCAAGAGCCTGCTGAATGGTCGAGGTGCGGACCAAGGTTGGGTTTCCATGGTTAATTTCAGTTTCCTGCCCAATGGGAGTTACGGAAATTGGGGGACTGCATGACACTGCCGTGGCGTTGGAGACGCAAGGGCTCCAAGACGACGCAAGGGGAGAGGGTGCAGTGGCTCTCAGCTGAATTTGATGTTCGTACTGTCCCTGGGGAAGGACCTGCTGGTACTGTCCGGAGTAACCGCTCATCGAGCTAGGCGTTGGAAGATAAGGCGAGTAAGGAGATGTAGACAAGCGCTCAACCTTAACACCATCGTTGATTCGCATTTGCTTGGCAGAGGTTGAGTTGGTGGAAGCGCAAGTGCTGCCATCAGAGGCCGAAGACATTCTTCGCTTGCGTGGGGACATCTGCCTTGCTTCTTGATCGTACGTGAAGGAGCCGATGCGTGCAAAGTGCTGAGTGGACGCCTCTTGATCGTTGATAACGACTTGAAGAGGGACCGAGAGGCCAGCACAAGCGGTGGACACGAATGCAGGAGCAGTGGCAGTGAGCACGTACTGGAATCTAGACTCCTCGACTAGCAGTGTGTTGATGGTGCAATCACACTGGTAGGATCCAAAGAGGACAGAGAAAGTCCAAGTTGGAGGGCTGAGCAAGTCATAGAATGATTCCACGTAGATGGAGAGCTTGGTGCCTTCGAACCCAATAGAAGGAGAGAACGAAGTCACTTCAGGAACAGGGTTGCAGTTAGACTCCAGGCTAGGCGAACGACGGATGTCGAACGGGGACCCAGCATATACGCTGTTCTGAACGTAGTTAGCGCTGTCGTCATCTGAGATAAAGCTGCCATCCAACATTGGGTTGTACATGGAAGTTCCGTAGGGTCCAGGGGGACAGGTCAGCAGGCCTGATGTTTCACGCAAAGCGCTGGAAGTTTCATCCGAGTCTATACATGATTTGTATTAGAAAAATGTAAATGGATACGAGGACAGAGGTACTCACCTAAAAACTCAATCTTCTGAGACTTATCGAGAGCAGACATGGACAAAAGGTTACCAGGTTTAGCTAGCAAGCTGTCCGAGTAGGCACCAACAAATCGAGACTCCTCTGGGTCAGAGAAGTCCAGAGACTCGTCAAAGATCAAAGGGGACTGGAGCTCAAACTGCAACAATAGAGATGGCGGGAATATGTCAGTCGAGCTGTGAAAGAGAGAGAATTGGGCAGACCGCTAACGGAAATCTGCAAGAGTAAGGGCTGGGGAAGGAGAAGGCAGTCGAATGAAAGAAGAAACACGACTCAAGCAGGCCGGAAATGCACAGATATATTCAGAAGGAAGATATCAGGGAGGGGGGGAATACATACCGGAGCTCCGTGAGACTTTGAGTAAGCCAGATTGGCGGTATTGCAGAGTATGCAGCGGGAACGCGGTTTGGTTTAAAAGCGAGCGACTGAGACTAAATCTCAAAAAATGCACAAAATTGATAAGAACTGTGTCTGGTACGCAGTTCTTTGAAAATATAAACGAGTGACGGTGTGATTTTTTAGAATTAAAAAATCATTGAAAAAAATAACTTCCGATCAAAGGTGAACGAATGAAAATGTTGAGACTAGAACCGGGGTTCGTAGGTCTAATTCGTTCAGTAAGTAAGACGGGAAGAATTGCACGGGACAAGGCGAATGTTGAGATCGAACAAATGTCTGATCTTGGGTTCCTTTCAGGAGTTTGTCGAACGGGGTCCTTGAGGAGACTGGCGTTGATCCGTGAAAGAAAAGTGAAAAATGAGAAAAATCAAGCAATAACTAAGCTGTTTTACAGTTAGTATGTGGAGGATGATCTTCACGGCGAAGTAGACGGGGAAGAATAAGCAAAAAAAAGGGTCGTGATTTGGTAGAGGTATCGGGTAGGCGCAGTGAACAGGTAGAAACCCACCGAGAGAATAAAGGAAAACAAGCAGGAGACTTAGAAAGCCACTGTTCGTTCCAATAAATTTAACAAGTGCTGCACACGGAAGAATCAGGAAATCTATTAACTAAGTTAGTCTCGGATCATATCAAGACATGGATAAAATGAAGAGGATGATGAAATGATACTGTAAGACCAGGGAGAGTCCGACAACAAAGGAGAATATATATAAAGGGAGATTATATGGGCTGTATAGCAACTTACCTTGGTGATAGGTTGAACCGTCAAGATCCTATTCTTCATATGAATACCTTACGGAATTCGTCGGAAGCCCTGGACTGCGTCTAACAGCAAGACTGATGATGTTGATGGTGGTGGTGGTTGTGGTGGTTGTGGTATATCGGGCAGGTAAGGCCGAGGTGATGTCTGCCTGGTTACCGATACCCGACAAGGACGATCTCGGGGCTTTTTTTCTCGTCCGGCGCTGGCGAGGCCTTCTTCACTCTCAATTATATATATATAACGAGATATATCGCCTAGGCTGAGCGTTTAGAAGCGATCGGGTGGTGAAGAGGTAAGGCTCTCTCGGTTGGTTGCAACGGATATTAACGATAGATTATGAATAATCGGAAAAATGACGACACGGCAGCAGAAATCCCCAAAACAATGATGATGAGCAAGATGGGAGATAGATTAAAATAGACAAGCAAAGGGATCTCTTCCTCGCTCTCTCTCGCTTTCTTCTCCTTTTTTTTATGTATGTCGGTTTTCTGGCGGAGGGTGGATGGATAGATAGGTAAGGTAGATAGCTTGGTAACAAGGCACGGAAACAAGGGACAAAAACAACACGATGGAGACAACCTGGCTAGCGAGCGTAACTTCGTGAGAAGAGCGAGTGTGTTGGAAAGCTGATATCGAGGACAATGAGGCGGGCGAGGGAGGTAAAAAAACGAGAGAATCAAAACGATGGAAGGGTGAAGATATCAAGAGGAGGAGGAGGAGAGGAAGAGGAAAAGGAAGACGTCAAAAGAAACGAGGAGGAGAGGTTGTTGTTTTAAGCGTGATAAGGAAAAGGGAAGGAACGAGCAAGAAAGAAGCGAAAAAAAAAAAGCGGTATCAGCGTGACGAAAGTTACCAAAGTTACCGGCGCTGGCTTCCCCCGCTGGCGCCTGATCAGGACTAGCGCGCAGGCCCACCAGGCAACATGGCCCCTTCCCGAAGCGGCGAATAGTGGGTCCTCCGCCGTGCGCCTGCCCTGTCCGGTACAAGACGATACCAGCGATACCGTACGGCCAGAGGCAGGCGGATGACGAAGAAGGTCACATGAGACCGGTCACGCGCCAATCAGCGGCCGCGTCGCTGCTGTAACGCCGGTATTGGTATTTTTCCCACGCCCGCGGGTTGCACGCTAGTAACACCGCCGGCGTTTCGTCTTTTGTGCTCTTTCCACTTTTTGACTTATAGCAACCTGCTGATATTATACTTCTACATGTATAGCGGGCGAGCTAGCGTGGCATGGCATTAGCATATGTATACATATTATACTTGTTTAGTACTCCGCAGTGGCACTTGGAGAAGCTATAGTAATTAACGGCTAATAGAAGACGCCTGCTATGGAGGAGGGCAGCACATATGGAGACAAAAAAAAGGGAGTGACTCGTGGAGCATGAACGAAGGACACCGGATCAGGGTCGATTCGAAGGAGCCGTTTTTCTCAGGGATCAGCATGGGCGTGGCTTTCTCCCTCGATCCCTGCTGGATTGTCATTCCTGGTGGCTTGCTGCTGGGTGTCTGTTCGGTGCATGGAGCATTTCGTGCATGGCCCGTATCCACCACCAGTTGTGCTGTGCACCCGACAGAAGCAAAGAAGCTGAAGGAAGGGTCGACGATGAGGTTGGTACGGAGATCCAAGAGGTAACTCGCTGTCTCTTCTTTTTCTCCTCCCCCCTACCTTGAGTTACCTAGACTTACGGAGGGCGATCCATCAGAGTAATCAGCATCCCTGGGGTGCTTTGTGCCAGAATGTCTCTTTTTATCTCCGTGGCTCGCTACTGGCTGCCGAAACTCTCACATACTTTACACAACCCTTTCTGCAGGCCAGCGAAGGAATCGATCAGGGTGGTGGTCGACCGTTACAGTGTGATCACGTCGACGTCGTACATACATGCAGCATACATAAAAGGTAGATGCAGCATAACTCTCAGCTTTCCTCTATCATATTTTTATTTTTATTTTTGCATGTTACTCATTATATCACTTTTCCCATTGCTTCTCCTGGTGCTCTCATGCAATTCCGTAATCTCCATCTAACAATAAGGCGGCTGTCATCGTCTGGCGCTGGTTGAACCCACGTCACCGGTTGTTGGTTCTTCTCGTAGTCTGGTTGCTGGTTCTTCAAGTCTGGCCGACGGGATTGGGAAAAAGGGTGCTTAGCTAATATACTATTTATAGTTTTTAGCTCGTCTGCTGTTATTTTTAGCTGACTTTATCCTTTTTCCACCAATCAGCGGTAGAAGAAAGGGAAGAGCAGGTATAAAGGAAAAATACACGCTCTGGCATGCACAGCCCTGATACTGGAGCCCGCTCGTTGGCGAGGTGCGCTCGTTGCTCGTTGTCGCCTGGTGGGTGGTGCGGTGCTGTCATTCCACCCTCTCGCTTGCTCGGATAGTCCAACTCTAAATGCACCGGATGGAACCCTTCGATGAACCGCCAGAGGGGGAGGTAGCATTTTTGGCGTCTCTTTTCTTCTTTCCCACGCTTCCTCTGCAATCCTGAAAGATGACTTCACTGCCCTATCTTACCCTACAAAGAGCTGGATAACAGCAGATGACGGCATTCCGGACTGGTCTCCTTCTGCTTTATCCCCCTCTACCCCAACGGCTGTGCTGGCAAATCACTCGGCCCGACACGCTTCTTGTCATCACGCAGGATTTACGACTACTGCGGATAAGAGTCAGACATCTTTTCTATATATATTTTTACCATTTTACCATCGACTGGCTCCGTACACGCCTTACCAATCTTGTCGCTGGCCGAGGGAGCCATGCCTCGTTAACTTTCAAGGGATGAGGAACGTTATCTTGTGCAACGTGGTCATCAAGAACGGATAAATGTACAAACACCGATTTGACGATACTTGACTTGTCCTCCTTTGAGAGCACGGGAGGCGTATGAAACTCACGTCAGGACATCATCCCATCCTCCATCTGCATTCCACATCCCATTTCTGGCTGATGAGAAGCAGTTAGATTAATCATCCCGTTTCTAATCTTCCGTTTTCCCTTTTCCCCTCATGGACAATAATGTACCAAGCGGTGTAAGCGCATCCTCTTGCCTTTCACTGCCTCCCCCGTATATGTGCATATGATACACATGTAGTTACCAGGGCACAGATAACAAGCCCCAGATGCAGATATACAGCAGAGCGTAACTCTGTAGCACCCTTCCTCTCTCTGCATTGCTATCGTGCATTTGTTCGCTGTATCCTTCTCTTTTTCTCCCCAATACCCTGTGGATTCCCCTTGTTCAACAGGAAATTGGCGTTTCATCGTCCAAGTCGGTCTGCTCAGGTGCTGCTGGCTGCACCCTGCGAACTCCTTTCAGCAGGAAGAATACCACGCCTGTCCTTGTACTTCCCTTTTCCCCGGAGAAGATCAAAGCCGAAAATCAGACTTTTAGAGTATAGTTCAGTGGACAGACACCTTGCTGAAACGGATGTTGTGCTTTTCCGTTACTTAACGCCAAGTACAAGCAAGATGGTCTACATGAACGAAAATATGAGCCAAAGCGGAAGTGGCCAGGTCAGGTCAGGTTTTTTTCCCCAAACTCCTTCCAAGGTGGGTGGCCCTTGCAATTAATCAATGCGAGCGGACTCCATTTCCGTTCGCTTAAGTGCGCGATCATGAACTGCCTCGGAACTGGCAATGACTAGGCCACAATGTAGCGAGTAAGCAGTTAAGGTATTTATCGAGGCCAACCATTATTGCCATATCCTCGGTTAATAATGTGCACCTGATAACTGACGGATAGGATTAATAATGTTCGAGATTTATCCCTGGCTGGTGGAACGGATACTCGATGGGCTTGCAGGCCACGCCCACTTTTTTCTATGCAGTCCCTCCTGTTCTGCTGTGCCCAGGGCGATTTGGATGCAAGCTGTGCGATACGCTGCATTCTTTTCGCTCCACGACCTTCCCGTCGGTACTCCATAGCGACTCTATATGACTCCATCCAGGGGGTGGATCCATAGCTTCCAATTTCATGCTCAACGCCTATCGGCTTCCTGCTTTTCATGTCTTGCGGCGAAGAAAAGACACAGCGAAAAAAGGGGGGTGAGAGAATGGCGTACGTTGACGCCGATGAACACGCACGCAAACGAAATACCTGGCACAAGTCAAGCTTTTGAGCAGCAGGCAAGCGGGTGAGCGAGCGAGCTCCCACAGCTCTGAGAGCTCCAGGTATAGCTCCCTAGCCGCCTATGATCGACATACGTACACAGATCTTGCGTCTCATGCAGCCTGCGATTCTTCTTTCACCCTTCTCCCCGTCAAGATCTGCTTCCAGCGTATCAATCGTCCCGTGATCTACCTGCATCGCATTCTCGTACATTGAGTCCAATGGCTTGAAATAAATTAAATGAAAGAAACGGGCCAAAGGGACCGCGGGTGGACACAGCGTCAGTTCTCTTTAACCTTTCATTCGGGGAGTTGGCCGTACAGCAACCAGGCAGACAGGCAATAATCGACTCTCCTCGCCGCACGGACAGTATATTGGCCGTTTGATATTGCGAAAACACGAAATGTGCGCAGGTCTTAGCTCCTCGTATAAGGGAGTTGGATGGTACGGAGTAAATTAGTGCAAGCTCGGAAATTATATGATTGTCAGTGATGATGCAGCGTGTGTTGGAGCCCTTTTCGAGTTTGAGCAATCGTAAACTGGGAAACGTTGGGGACGGAGGGCCAAGCTGGAGCTATCCCCCCTGGCCTATACAGGTTCCTTGATATTACGTTTCATTTCAGAGCTTTCTCCACGCGCAGAAGCAAACGCAACGCGTCCTACAGCTTTCTTTTGTGAATATCCCGGGGGGAGGCTAGAACGGTGGACTGGCCTTGCCGATTCACAAGGGAAGAAGAAGTGGGCGTAAAAGGGAGAAGAGAAGCGATTGATTAATTGTTTTCTCGACCACAGCTAGCCAGTTAGTCGGATACTTGGCTAGCTTAGCCAACTACTGTGGCTGGTGGTGTTGATGTTGCTGATGTTGCTTGTGAACTATCCATGGTGCTACGGAGTAACTTACCATGGTGCTCCTACCCCTTTTCCTCACGGGGCCGCCGGTCGAAAGGGGTCCGGGGTTAGGTTAGTAAGGTCGCTCACAGTTTGCTTCCGTTCGAATCGCTAAATTCAATCACCAGCTTGCCGAACTGGCTGCCCTTTTGCATGTCGTCAAACAAGCCATTAATACCGTCAAGGTTGTCGATACCCTGAATAACTTTCCATACCACTGGCTTAATTTTCTTCTCCTTGATAAAGTCCACCATCTCTTTGAACTCCTTTCTTGAGCCCATAGTGCTTCCCCTGAGATCAATGTTCTTTAACACGGCTTGAATTAACCATGTCATCTTTGGGCTAACCGTCATTCCATAAATGGAGATTATTCCACCGTCCTAAAGGGGGAGCGTGAAACGTGAAACGTTAGCAACGGGCCTTAATTGAAGCTTACATGGAGCCACTCGGTATCTGCCTATCAGAGTGGGTGCAAAAAAAGAGGCCGACCACAGCGCTTTGGTGCTATGTCCACTCCGCGGTTGGCACCGTTTAGACTTTCGGGATGTGTTTATATCATATCAAGCCACGATATAGAAAAGAGAACACAACGGTAAATGGGAATAGGAGAGAAGGTACGTTTTCACCTCCCAAGCTTGGTAAGGCAGAATGACGGGTGTGGGCTTTGAACTACCCGTCTGTTAAAGTGGGCACATAAAAAAAAAAAGACGTACCTTAAGCAATCTCACCCCCTTTTCAACGACCTCTCCGCCAGCACCGTCGATAATAGCGTCGAATTTAGCCTTCCCGTTTGGCAACATACCCATCAGTTTCTTCTCCCATCCCGCCTCCTTGTAGTTCACTCCGCCGCGAGCTCCGAGCTCGACAGCCCTCTTAATCTTTTCTTCGCTGGAGCTTGTAACATATACATCTGCTCCCCTGGCCGCCGCAAAGCCCAAGGCCATCAACGCCACACCCCCACCAATACCGGTAACCAAAATGGCAGCTCCGGTACTAGAATTGGCTTCACCGGTTTTGGTCACGAGTGCTCTCCAGGCAGTCAACCCAGTCAAAGGCAGAGCCGCCGCTTCAGCATCAGATAGATGCTCCGGCGCCTCTTCGACCTCACTCACATCTAGAGTGATGTATTCCTGCAACGTTCCCTTGTCATACAGACTTGTGCCTCCCATAATTTTGAATTCAATGGCGCTCTCGGGCCCATCGGGGGCATCTTTCCAGCCCGTAGCAGGGTTCAGGATAACCCGCTTGTTCATCCAGGATTGAGCATGGGGAACATCCGGTCCTGTTGAAGCCACAATACCAACTCCATCACTTAGTAGGGGCGTTTCGAAACAGGCCCCTGGGTATAAGTGTTGTCGTATGAAGAGGTCCCGATGGTTAAGTGAGGCTGCGCTGAGTTTAATGAGCAGTTCACTCCCTTTCGGTGTTGGCACTGGCACAGAGCGGAGAGATAGTGGGTAATAGACTTGCCCAGGCTTCCCGAACTTGCCATCCTCGCTCGTAATTGTGATAGCATGCATGATTGTGGACGTTCCTGAAGAAACTTATTCCAAGTTTTGATGGGGTTTTGTATCCTCAATGTTAAATTATTATAGGGGTACCAGTTCCTGGGGATCGAAATTGAGCCCTATGAAGAAATGTAAGCGATTGAGATCGACATATTCAGGATAGCTGTATACATATATAAGGGTAGCCGGTTGGAAAACGCGGCAGATAAGGGATAGGGGTTTGGGGGTTCCTCAGCTCAGGTATCTTCAGATCAGACTTACGGGGTACCTTTTGGGATACGGAAAAGCTGGTGGTAAATTATCCAAACCCAACTCTTGACAGCTCGTATTATATCAATTCCCCCTTAGAAAGAATACTGGAGAGAAAGCAAGTAATTTATACGATGTATCCAAGTTATGTCCGGTTTATAAACAGCGGCGATTATCTTCAAATGTAACAATTATGTCGTCATGCCCTCCGAGAGTAGTCACTTGAGAAAACTGAGCTTTGAAATATAGATAATTGTGAAATAAGGAACCAAGCAGTCCTCTACTTTATAACTGACTAGCATAGAAAGAATGTTTGTATAAAACCGTACACTTGATGGTGATGAAATGCTGGTTGTCGGATTGATTAGAAATCGTTGACGTCGCTTGCTACCGGATTTGCCGAGGCACAACCGCGGGGCCGGTTAAAGTTCGGCGATAAGATTGATGACTAATACGGCACATCAACAACGACAACAACAACATCAACAACATTTCAACATCGTTAGTGTCAACGCCAACGCCAACAACGCCAACGGATAACAGTATAACAGGAGATGGATTACGCATATTGTACAGATTACCATGCAGATTACTGGGACAAGTACCCAAGTCCACTATTGCTGCATAAGCGGCACCACTAGTTAGAACTAGCTACAACATACAACTTCTATCATGATACAACTGATTGGACACCAGAACTATGGGCCATCCGTAGCGACACGCTAAGCGTGAAAACCGTTGGACTCCTTCCGCGCAAGTATTACCAATCAAACAATTAGTCGACCTCCTCATGATCCTGGAATGGCCAGCCCTTCTCAACGAGGAACTGGTCATCGTCATCCTCGCCTCTAGCCAACCATTCTTCCTTGAACTCCTTGTTCATGGCAACCACTTTGTTGTACGATCCATTCCTCACCCAACCATCCTCGCTGAGATTATCTAGCCTCGAGCGTAAATGTTCTGTTAGAATGTTGAATTGGAACCATTGCTCTTCGATAGCATAGAACTCTTCTTCCTCCTTCTTACTGAACTGGACAGGACATTTGATGGTTCCAGCTCTGTTACCTAGGATTATACCCCAGTTGAAGACTATCCTGAGGATTGCACCTTTCAAAGTGATAAAGTCCCCTGACCATGGGCGTCCTGCTCTATCGGCTAGGTGCTGTCGTTGCATCAGTAGTGGATACCGAAGGGCTGCGAGGTGAGGTTTGTTGTCCCTTCCGTTGAATACCATGTATAGCCAGAAAAGCATCCTTCGTCTGTGGAGCTCGTCGGCATATTCCTTTTCTTCTGCGCTTAGAGTATCATAGTCTGGAGGCAGAGATGGCTGCTTCAGGTCCTTTGGAGGCTCGGAGTCTGGGTTATCAAACATTGGTGGATTCCCTGCCATCAGAAGGAGTGGCAGAACAGTGGTATACTGCCAGTCAATGATACAGGTTATTTCACCTTCTTCGGAAACAAATATGTTGCTAGGGTTAAGGTCTACCCTCGTTAGCACTAGTACCAGCAAAAAAGTGCACAAAATAACATACCGGGATGTCGTAGAGTCGGCTTGTTCATGGGGTCTGTGGGATCTTGCGGCAATATGTATGGAGCCAACAATAGATACTTTCTAAGCAAGTCGATGTAGACAGTATGCGATATCTCTCGTGGTATGCCTTCTAGGGAATTGTGAGGGAAATCATTCATCATTGGGTTGCCATACTTTTGGGTCCATTCGAGCTCCCGTTGGCCGATACTTTGCAGATACTGACAATGATCTCGCCCTATACACAGGTTAGCAATATCGCAATCATACCCTCTACCGCCAGGTTACACTAACAGGGACCTCGATTTAGATCGAAGCTTGCCCGTCTTCCACGCCAGAACATGTAATCGGTAATGGGTCCGATACAGAATCTGTCATCTCCCGGCTGTCCTGGTGCATAGATATCAGATCTGAGACTCTGGGGAAGCGAGTCCTTATAATACAAGCTTCCATGAGCTGCAAAGGGAAGAGAGAAAAGTTTCTTCTCGATATCCACATAGCTCGTCACCAGCTTCAGCATTTCCTTGGGCGTGATATCAAACCATCGATCAGCCAATGGTTTGCCAGACGCTTTTTCCATGATGATATACTCGGTTCCGACTTTATTATCTCTATCAGACGACCAAGCATATACCTTGGGAACAGGTATGCCGTTTCCACGCAAAAAATCCAAAGTAGCAACCTCACTTTCTGTAGTGAGCTTCTGTGGTACGGCTAGCAAGTATGGTATCTTCACAATGACTTCGAATCCGTCATTCATGGTAAGTAGAAAGACTCTGTTGAAACCACCCTCTGCGAGCTTTGTGATGCTGGCGGTCGAGTCACGGCCAACAGCTCGAGCAGCGGCATCTTTCAAGGCGTTGACATTGAATTCGACATATCTCTCGGCGAGCCTAAGATGTTCATTGTAGAGATATCGACCGAACGTGTATTTGAATAAGTTGTGGTCGTGTTTGGTTGCCAGTGTTGAGCCATGCTGTGTCAATGTAAGGACCGGAGTAGCAGTAAGCTGCCGCGGTAGGCCCGGATATAGCGCGTGTTTCCAGTTGAGAGCAAGGGATGGACGATAGCTATATGGACGAGAGCGCATTCTAATTGTTCTTCTAATTGGGAGCATGATGGCCCTTCTTGCAATAACTGTACCTAGAAGCTATATAACTTTGTCCGATGAAGCGAATATCGAAAATGGTCTAGAAGGTCCAACAATTGATGATCTCCCTCCTTGGCCATGCAGCTCGCAGCCCCTTTCAAAACGCCCGATCTGACATGAAGCAAATAAAATAATAAATATCAGCCATGCTGGCTAGGAAGGCGTACTAGACCGGATTTCCAGGTGTGTATGGCTATGGGTGATCGCTTTGATCGGATTGCGCATGTTTCCTTGATAACCAGGTGGTAGCTCACTCTAGAGGATTAACAGTACCTTTTCTCTTCTAATACTATATATCTAGTGAATAACCCTATTTATTACTTTGCATCTCTGTCCTAGTCCTAGCTTTAACAGTAAGCGATTGTCTTCATTTTATTTTCTATTGACGTAGGAAGGTATACGACTTGAAGTCCTCCTGGACTCAAATGGAAATTCTATATTGCGGTTTATATCTAGCCTGATAGAATTGTACCGATGTTAGGTGGTTTTGAGATATGCGCGTTTCCTTCCCCCTTCCCTCGTCCAGTCCGTTTCATGTCCATCCTCTCCTTCTAGCTTTCCTTTCGCCCTTTGATCCCTTGCACTGCTGGCTAACTACCTAGTCCTTCTTCTTGCTCGCGATCACCCTGTCAATCCTGTTCCACACCCTGATGCCCTCCATGAAGCAGCTTATCTCCCACGTCCACCACAGCGCTGACCACCGCCTCACCCCATGTCTCCGCATGCGCAACTGGTCAAACAGCACTACTTCGAACGCGTGAGCAAGGGCAACCAGAGATACACCGGTGCGAACGACCCAGAGCCCCCATTCAGCGCCGCCGGGAAAGTAGCGTGCCAGCAGGTTCCATGTCGCGTCGCCTGGCGTTACCCATGCAGACGCTATCCACGCGACATACAGTGCTAGAATGAAGCCGATCTGAAACCAGTCCAGCGGGGACGGCATTGCGTACTCTGTGATGATGACGGCGCTGGCATTGGATTTTTTGCGCCGGTTGCTCTCCATTGACTTGACGGTATCGGTGATGTGCCGTAAGTAGCTGAAAGAATGGCTGGCCGGCGAGGCTTGTGCTTGTAATTGGTATTTGGCAATCGTAGTAATAAGTGTTGTTATTGGCCTTTGATGTCTAGTTATACATAGGAGATTGTCTGGTGTGTGAAACGAAACTGGGGCCGGTCATATCGACTCTGCGGATATTTAATTGAAGGTGAAGATCATCAACTGAAGACACCAGCTAAATAGTAGATAACCACAAAGCTAGTCAAAAGCTAGTTTACGGAGTACGGAGTACCTGTTAGCTAAATAATGGTCCTGCAGGACAGTGCCGTATAAAATTAGCTCCTCGGCGCCATCCATGAAGTTTCTGAACGTATCTCAAACTCCTTTCTATACAACTAAGCAGGCCGTATTTCGTGTTTATAACCATGGAAATAGGCGCTGTTGGGTTAACTCTCTAGACGGTTTGAGCATCAACACAATCCAGTGTGCTCTTATAGTTAATTAACGCTTCACCGGTGTTTACTTCATTAACTACATAGCTGAAAAAAAGACATTCACCATTGAAGACTTTTAGGAAGTATAAAAATGTTCTCGCTAAATATACACAGACACTCAGATTTCCACTTTACGCATCAAAAAATCATCAAAAACGGACGGCTGATGGTCGATATTCCCGTTTTTAGGTATTTTGAGCTCATTAGTGAACCTGTTAACTAACAAGTGTGTGGTTGGTTGAGGTACGTGGAACCCATAGCCAGACTCCCACACATTACCGAAACCATCCTTGGGGCATTAGGCCTTTTTGTCCGTTGTGGTCCAACAAAACATCACCAGCACCATCAGACTTCCTTCAAGGGCCTCATCGACTTCTCTGGAACTGGACCCTTGACTGTAAGCCAGCGGTCTCACGCTCAGAGGAGGTTCGAGAAGTATTCAGACCACACCTACCGGATCGCTATGATATATGAATTTGCAGGATTGCTTTTGGGTAACCTCTTTAGCCCCAGCTGGCCTACCTAACGGTTGAATAAAAGGAAATGGGATTATCGTTCCGTCACCCCTTTCGAGGCAGCCGAGATGTTACGAGAGTGCGAAAAGCAGTTCGTACTACAACACTTAGAACAGACTACCGCCAACCGTCATCTTTCTGGCCTGCCCCCTTTTTCCTTGCTCCAGTTTAAGCACTTCCTGAATACCCCGTACTCTCCTCAGTCCTAAAGTGATGGTGGCTGCACCCATAATTCCTTGTTGGCAAGCTCCTCTGGCCCAGATGTGTCTACCCGGGAGGAGGACTTTGAGACCTCACGGGGTACTTCGGGCCCCAATATTCAGCCTTGGACGCCGTTTAACCTACCACAAAGCCCCCAGGAGTCCCAGCTACGCTTCCTATTCTCCTGCCAACATTTTTCAGTGAGATTTATCGGCATTAATACCCCAGAGAAAGAGCTACGAGTTGCTCTGGATAAACCAGAGCGAGCTTGCAGTCATCCATAGCTTATGCCTGGCACACGATCTCCATCAGCGTGTGATTCAACGGCCTTTCGACTATCAGCTGTCCATGGATCGTATGCCAGAGCACCCAGAAGCCCTCTTCCCGTTAAGACACAGGGAGTAACCGTCACTAAACATTACAGCGGTTATTCCACCAGTCCTGCAATGATTACCCGTTTCCAGGACCTTCTGTTGTGGGCTATGGCCGGCAATGGGGAACGCGATATTGTTCCCAGTCATGAGGACCTAGATGATGACGGGGTGCAGCTTAAGGGCTAGTCTATTGATACCCTCTGATTGGCCTACATCGTCCCATATTCGATGATACAGTCAAAAACCGTACTTCAGATTCTGAACATGTTTGATCCTATCGTTAATGGCACCGACATCGACCGGCCATATAACTTGAGCAAAACGGTGCGGAGACTACTCCAAACCCGCCGGTCGTGGAACGCGGTGTTGATATCGAACCAGTGAAGACACCACATTTTATGCCAGCCTACAGATAAGGGATAAAGTAGCCTACAGCGAATCGTCTCGGAAGCAAGTCTCAGAAACAGGTCTAAGAAGTGGATCTAGGGACTACGCTTCCGGGGTGAATACGACCTGGCGGTGACAGATATCTAGAAGTCAGAACATACCGAAGCAGGCGGACGTTAGCCCAGCATAACTACTCCGTACAGGGGCTACATGAGTGTATAGCCACACCAGGCCGAAGGGTCTCGCACCCTGGTTGTCATCACAGCTAATATCAATCGACAGAAGCCTTCGATAATATTCTAATGCTGGGAGGACCACCATGTGCCTTATCGTCTTGTTACGCGTCATTGCTACCCAACAAGCAGAATGATACAAGAGGCCCGCGCGGTCCACGAAGATGGCATAACAAGAGTCATTGGAGACTCTATTATAATACCGTTTGAGAAAGTACTACGTCGTCCAAAAGAAATAGGAAAAGAAAGGAATATTGTTATTAGGCGAGACACTTTGATTGAAGTTTTTGAAAGTACATGGAAAAGACAACACTTTATTTAATCTACTCCGTAGGTGTTTTTCATATTAGTCATCGACCTGAAAACCTTTCTTTTGACCCAATCGTTAATGCTGCTGGGGCCAAATCAAAATCCCCAAAACCTCGAATGGTATGTGATATTTCATTTTAGACTGCATAGGCGCCTAGAGAAGATGTCAAATCATCTTCAAGATGCCCTACCCGCCACTAGTACGCACCCTAGTCAGTGCATTGTTAGCAAGGAGCAATTACTAAGTAAGTAATGAGATTGGGGTAACATCGTCGTAGTTATCTGTCAGAAGTACCTACCTACTGTACCCCATTCTGCTGTTGCTAACTAAGCAGCGTTGCTTTTTAGTTCAACATTATCTGACAGGGGGTCACTTCAGCCTTATTCTCCGCTAACTCATGGCATGGCTGGCGGCTACACAAGTCTTTTTTATATATACCCACCTCTCAGCCGGAGATAGTCGTTACCTGCTTTTGTCGGTTATTCACGAATACTGGTAACTACTGCGAGGAGTAACTACCTTAAAATTTTCTTTCTAAAACTCCTTGGACTTTAATTCCACGATCAATCTTACCTTTACAACTGTTCCACATATTCGGCATCGCCCTTAGCAATGGGGGGGGATACATATAAAAGTACGGGTCCTGGAAGCCAATTCAATGCTCCGAAAGGCAATCAGCAGAACATTACAGGCGATAACCCAACTGTTAATAATTATTACGGTAAGAATGAGCGTTGTCGATAACTAGGATGCTGTTCCTAACTACCTAATATAGGAGGAGGCACTGAACCACTGAGGGAGATAAAAGAGCAGTGCCTGCAATCGCTGTACTTTCAAGAAATGGAACGTTCATGCGAGAAGATCAAGCCTGCTGTTAATGACACTTGCAAGTGGCTGATTCGACATGAGAAATATGAGACCTGGGCCAAAAACGGGGGTTTGCTCTGGGTTAGAGGGAAGCCTGGCTCTGGGAAGTCAACTTTGCTCCTGCATGCTTTGGAATATACCAAGAACATAGCCAGTATCGACGGCAAAAATCCCATCATTCTCTCCTTCTTCTTCTTCAACCGCGGTACTGAGTTTCAGAAGACACCCCTCGGCTTCTTCCGATCACTTCTCTATCAGCTCCTTGATAAAACCCCCCCTAAGGCTATGGATAAACTTCTTACTACCTTTGAAGATCGGTGCAAGAAGCAGGGCAAACCTGGTGAAAGGTGGCATTGGTATCAAAAGGAGCTACGTTTTTTGTTTGAGTCTTCGCTTCGGGATATCCTGGAAAGCCACTCAGTCTGGATATTTATTGATGCGCTGGATGAGTGTGACGAAGAGTATAGGGCCGAGTTCATAGAAGAGCTAAAGGACTTGTTTGAACGACTCCAGCCCACCAGTTCAGATTGTCATGTCTTTTTCACTTGCCGTCACAATCCGGTTGCTGACCCTAACTCAGAATCCGGAATATGTGCTGAGCATCAGAATAATAGCGATATTTTGACCTATGCACAATCCAGACTTTCCACTCGACCTAGGATTCCGATAGTAACTCGGGAGGCTATTGCAACAACGATCGCTAAGCGCGCTAAGGGCATTTTCCTATGGGCGCGTCTTATTATAGATAGAGCTCTAGAACGTGAGCCTGATGAGTTTGGGTTAGAGATGATTGAAGAGATTATATCTAACTCACAGGATCTATATGGCTTATACGGTGAACTCATTAAGGAAAGGAAGGAGAAGGGGGAGGCAGAACTGCAAGATACCCTCAAACTGATCCAATGGATCTGCTTTGCCAGGTGGCCTCTAACTCTAGATGAATTGCGATGGGCTATAACTATTAATACTAATATAAAGAGCCCATATCAGCCCTTAAAAGAATTTAAGAATTCGCGCTATTATACGTCTAATAATGAAGTGATGGAAAGGAGAGTCAAAACTTATAGTTGTGGGCTTGCTGAGGTTGTGGAGTTAGACCAGACTCGAGTTGTGCAGTTTATCCACCAGTCAGTTAAGGACTTTCTCCTTCATAAGGGCCTATCGACTCTTGACCACAGCCGGAGCTCTATGGGTAATGCTATAGGGCGCGCACACTATCAACTGTCCAGGGCCTGCATACGCTACTTCGCAATTGTAGGGGTTGTTCAGGCACCTAGCGACCTGACAAGCATAATAGCTTACCTTGAATTCTTTGGTCGCATTGCCGCTTTAATGTCTGAGTTTCCATTTTTACGATACGCAACGACCTCGTGGAAGTTGCATGTACAGCAAAGCGAGTCACATAATGTTCCTCAAGATGATCTTTTAGACTATTTCAACTGGCCATCTGAGGATCTTATAGAAACGTGGGCACAACTTCGCATGGGCCGACGGGGTTACGGAAAGCACACCTTGCTACAGATAGTATCAGAATACGGTATGATTAGCCCACTGCGAGCGATTCTGCAAAGGGCAGACGAGAAGGGCGTTGATATTACTTCGGTGAATAGTGCAAGCCAATCGGCCCTCTTTTTCGCTGTCCAGGGGGGTGATGATACAGCTGTAGAGCTCCTTATCAACACTGGCAAGTTTGATGTTGAGGTAGAGAATTTTACCGCGCTATCCCTGCTCTCTTGGGTTATACTCAAGCTACTCCCAAACATGGGTGAGACTGATGCCGATACAACGGATGGAGTTAAAATTATACCGCTATTGTTTGCCTTTTCAAGGTTGTATGTGGTTATGGTCAAGTTCCTATGTACGCTTAGATGGCTTATATCCAAACCGATTCCTAACAGACATAAGGTCGATGTTAATACAATGAATGCTAGAGGAATGACACCACTTATGTGCGCCGTTTTAAGAGGACATGTGAACATGGTCAAGCTCCTTCTTAATATTCGCAATATCAATGCTGATATAAGGGGTCGTCGGGGCGAGTCGTTGCTCTCCTATGCTGCTCAAGGCGGGCATGAATCCATTATCAAGCTTCTTCTTGATATACGCAGAACTGATGCTGATATCAATGCACGGGGTAGGAATGATCATACACCCTTATCTCTGGCCACTAAAGGAGGGCATGAGGCCGTAGTTAAGCTCCTTCTCAATACTGGTAAAGTTGATGCTGATATCAATGCGCGGGATAGGAATGGTCACACACCCTTATCTCTGGCTGCTCGAGGTGGGTATGAGGCCGTGGTTAAGCTCCTTCTCGATACCGGCAAGGTTGATGATATCAATGCACTGGATAACGAGGGTCAGACAGCACTCCATGTAGCTGCTGACTGGCCCCGAGAAACTGTAGTCAAGCTACTTCTTGATACTGGCAATGTTGATATCAATGTACGGGATAATAAAGGTCAAACGGCACTCCATAAGGCTGCTAGACAGGGGGCTAAGGCCGTGGTTCAACTCCTCCTTAATGATGACAGGGTCGATATTAATATAAAGGATAACAACGGTCAGACAGCATTCGGCCTAGCTATAAAGCGGGGCTTAAATCTAGACACATGGCTAGGCTATTTTTTGATACTGGGGAAGCGGCCTATGGCCTCGCTACCAAGAAGGCCACGAGACAGGCGTGGAAGGTTGATATCCATGAAAAGGGCAACTATTGAGAGGCCTCACTCTAAGGTGCCACACTCAATTGCGAGGCAGAGCGAAGGGGGTCAATCTGACTCTCGAAGATGGATCTCTAGATGCAGCCTAGAGGAAACCAGGTAGGCCTTTTTGCTAGATGGTTTTGATCTGGCGTATGATATGTGGCCTTGGGCCCGGGACAGTCGAATTTTTGTATCTACATACCATGCAACTAGCAGCGAGCTCTACCGTCTGGTCCTACAAGCCTGCCGGATTCTTTACTTGGAATATTCTGTGTCGGTTGAAGGCTAGATCCCCGCACACTGGGGACACGGTACAGCACTATATGCACCCCTTGGAGGCCTGGTGTCCGTCCCTTGATTTTTCTTCCGGTCATCCTTCCACGCTTAATATCGTTCTTGGGTCGTATATAATTCGTCGTTTTGTATGGCGAATTTCAATTGCCATTTGCCTGACTGTCTATTTACGTTCATCGTTGCGAGTTTTGCGTCCATATCTCCGACGGTTCTACTTGGATTTTTCCACAATCGTTAACCTCTTTTGGCATTATGCCTTCTATCATATTGAAGTCGATTGCTGGTTGGTTGGGGTGTTTCTATTAAGATGACGAGAGGGTATACATTTTGTATATTTGTTGCGCCTAGAGTAGAAGTTTGGTAGTATGAGTCAATTTTGTATTATGGTTCTTGACACTCCCTCCGGCTCATTCCACAGTGCACTAGATGGCGGATATTTGGCGAATAGCAAAAGATAGCTAGTTACTTAGTTTTGAAATATTATCTACTTCTGATATAAGTTTTACCAGAGGCGATAAATTGCATTCATCAAAGTGTGTTTCTAATATATATCTTGGTGAAGCAGGTAAGGGTACAGGGTAGGTTTAGGCTCATATAGACTTGAAGACAGAGGTTAAGGTTAACTAGCTAAGGCCGAGGAAGTAGCTTATGTTGCCCATATCCTTCCTTCACCTATTGGAGGCCGGTGCGCTCATTAATAGGATTCTTTGAGACTGAAAAAAAGGAATCCGAGGTGATGGAACTACAGAGCTAAGCCGCATGGTAGGCTGGAGGATGAGCAGTGGGCAGAGTAGTATAAATGTATGATACTTCATTTTTATAGGATGTTGTTGCGGGTGCTGGCTGGTTTGTTCAGGAGTCTAGAGGGCGGGTCTCAGACGCCGGTCTAAGGAATCTTTTGGAGTGGATATACACTGGCGGTTACAAATATCTAGGAGAGTATACGCCATGCCATGGATCAAGGAGATATATAGATGTGATCAGTTTGATGACACCAAAGGGCGACACCAATACACAATAGCGCAGCGCATGGATGCCCTGTCTTGATGCATTGACAGAATGGAGTCCCGGCCTCACCAACAAGGTATCATGCTGCTATGGGGTTGCGGATGTTATGGTCGAGGTGGATGCTGACCGAGGACATATTGCGACCTATCCGGGATAAACTTGAGAGCATTGTAGTCGAGAACGGGGTCACGACTACCACTGCTTTCCGCGTTACAACTAAGAAGTTCGTTAAAGAATGTGAGGATTGAAACACAGAAATATGAGATGGAACAACAGAGCTGGACTATGATATACCGGAGAAGGGGCGGCAGGCCAGTCCCACACTTCTTCCGAGGACTAACCCCTATACCATGTTTGCACAAAGTAGAGTGATGTATTTTATATACTACATCGTAGCATACTTATCATTCCTAACACAACTATTATACTGCAGGAATGAAAACAGACTCGTTGACTTCTATTAGTAGAAGGGTACGTCATATCATGTATCGAAAGAGAGCGGGGTACATCCATAACTAGCACAGATAAAGAGCGAAAGAAAGATATATCCATCGTAGATAGATATTAATATGCAAATGAATGAACAGCTATCCTTGGCGTAGACACATCAAAGTAGAAAACGACCTAATGCCGCTGAGGGTGCCACCAGTACATATCTTCAGGGCGTCGTCGAACAAAGGAGCGCGAGTCATCCCAGCGTCTATCCGACAGATACGCCTCATCGTAATCATCGTCCAGGAAAAATACCGATTCATCAGACGAACCTTGGATGTCACGGTCCTTCGAGCGGTCACGCCGTTGACCCTTTTTCCTTCGATGTCTACGATCGTGCGCCTCCTTTAGGAAAGACGGGACACCCAAGAGAGACTCATCGTCCGTTGACCACTCTGATTCATGAATTGTTGATGTCCGGTCTGCATCGGTATGGGTATCTGATGCATCATGGTGTCGTCTTCGCCTGAGATGACGGAGCCGAGGCTCGGGTTGGTGTCTCCCTTCACGCCGCCTGCGTACAGCTATAGGTAGGCTGGCCGGCATGTTGTCTAACTGTAGGGGAGGGACCCGTGGATGCGTCGTGGTATGCATGGGTATGAAAGGAGGGGACTGGTGCCATCGGTGGCTGCCAGCGACAGCTCGGTGGGGAGGGACTTCTGGTGGACGCGCGAGTTGGTGTGCGGCCATGTGGACTTGAGTGCGCGGGCCGAAATGATGAAGCCGGTTAGGTGGCTCGTTGAACAGATTATGTCGTGTTTGCACTGGCATAACTTGTGATGAGCAGCATGTGCTCCAGCATGCGGGTGTGGTTGCCGAAGGAGATGCTCTGCACTCCTGAAGCCTGGGC